CCGACGGACAGGCGAACTGGCAAAAAGTGCGTTGCCACGGCCGCTAGAAAATATATAAAATAAATTGCGGAATGCCAACAAATAAAAATTTATAAGTGTAGGCACAAGAACCCGAACCCTCCGTCAACCAACCCACCCGCTGCCGGCAGCAAAGAACGAACCCCGGTCACGCCCCTTCTTAGGCCAGCGTTCCAGCGTCCCTTGTCAAGGACCGGAGCCAGGACGATTATAAAGAGATTTGTGTGTCTGCGTCTCAGTTCAACTCGAGGCTCGAGTCGCGGAGGCGGAGGCGAAGGCGATGGCGGCCACGAGCCAGCGAGAACGGTGAAACCTTGTCCTTTTGGAGCAGATTGGGCCTGCCTGACGAGGCGCTGATGACTGTCATCATAATCTCGATTAACATAATAATATCCGTAATCGTTATCGGCCCTGATGATGCTCCTGATTGTGCCGTCGCCCCCTGTTTAGACAATGTTGCTGCCTAATTTTGTCTGTTGTCCCCCAAATTGCCTATCAGGTTCCATTCTGATTTGTTTTTTTATTTCCCCTCTCCGCCTGCCCCCTGGCGATTTGAATTTAATTGCTTTATCTGCCCATAAAAGTTGGTCAGATTTGACATATTGCCTGGCGAAATACCACTTTAAGTGTTCCAGAGCAAAGCAATGAAAAACGAACTCAATTTTATATTATCACCGATTTCTGCCACAAAAGTGTGCGCAAAAAAAAAAGAAAAAAAAAAACGGCAGCTAAACTTTTAGAAAATTCATTTGGCCACTTTGCATGGCCCGCCGCCACTCGAGCTGGGCTACAGTATCCAACGGCGGCGGCATTGACGGATATACCAACTTATTGATTGCTCTGCCTGAGAGACTACTGCGGCCTGAGATGGCCCCGGGATGGAGGCTGAGCATAGGGTTTTGGAATTGGGAATGGCTGGGCTAAAATGGCAACCGAAAAGGGGCAGCCAGTCGGCGGAAGTTTAGCCGAGATTGTCAATAGATCTGGCGCGTGGATGGTACAGTGGCTTATCGCCTTGTAAACCTTATAAATTGTCTTCTTAAAAAGGGATAAAATAAACAAAAAAATGTATTTCATATCATTTAATTAAAGTTACTGCTAATTTCTAGTACAAGTACCTTTAACATCTAACAAAACTGCATAGTTTTTTAATAAAATTTTAGCTTACGTTTAAGTTTTAAATACGGTTCGGGTATTATTTCTAACTAAGTTTTAAGTTTCACTGAATTGACTTTCTTCTGTAACTGCAGAATAAATATAGAAAAATCTTTTAAATTCATACATCGGAAACAAATAGATTTCACGTTTCTCATAATTATCCTTAAATACCTTTTATTATTATTTAACATTATACATTTCGATAATAAAAATCATAAAAATTATTATGGAAATAGAAAGATTGCAAAAAAAGAATAACAATGCGATTAAGAATTGTTTCTATGCCAATTTAATTAATTTTTTTGTTTAAAAATTGCAATTGTAATACTATTTTACGCTTCTAATTAATTTTCAACAATTAGAGAATACCTACTTCTTTTTTATATTTTTTAAAATTTTCTTTTGACCACCCTTTTAGCTATAGACCACTGTGGCTTGGAGAAAAGGACGACGCATTCGCCTATGTAGTATGTATATTGTGAGTGGTTTAGTGAGGCATATGCTGATGGAATTTGGTTTTTTCCCACATAAATCGTGTGCGTTTGTGTACCCTCTCAAAGGTTTTGACAGTCCCTTCGTGGAAATGAGGGGAAGGCAGGGAGTACAGTCCCCTTTGCCTAACTTTTCCGAAGCGATGACAGGAATCTGTGGACTCTACAGGATATTCCATCTTCATTCAGTGTTGCGTATGGCATCACTGCAGGTGACACCTTGAAATTGAAGACGGAGTAGTTCGGTTGGGCAACTGCTCCTTGTCCGGAAAATGCATTTACCCAGTCCTGCCCAGCATCCATTCCACCGGCAATGTACCTCTGCTTCGGTTAGGGCCTGTCTTTAGTTTTGATTTTCCACTTGATCGAGTGCAAACTTCCCCGCTCCGCTGCCCACTGAGGCGTGTTATCAAATTATAAACAATTTCAACGTGAATATGCATTGTTAATGTGCCTGAATTGTTCACGTTAATTAGGTTGCAGCGGCAAAGACCCTGCCCGCCCCTTGTCCTGCGAAACGTGCTGGTCATGGGCGTGGGCGTGGCCGTCGGCGTCCTAGATTAATTTCCTGTTTTCAAGGGAAACAACGTTTTCCACGAACTGCTATGCTGGCTGCTCAAAATCGTTGTGCAATTACTGCAAAGTGTCCCGTACATTTAATGCCGTGCTGCGGCGCCTTATTTTCATCCATTACAAAATCAAGTTGAGGAACGTGCCGCAGACACGTTTCTTCGCCCCTTTCGGGCCGTGCTCCAAATGGGCATTTGTCTCTAAAGTTAAAATTGCTTTTAATATAATGCGATTTCTGTTTGCCTTCCCGGAATGCTGGCCAGCTTTGTTGGCAAGCATTTGATGGTCATTAGGCGTCCTCCCCATGTTGAGACAATTTTGTACAATAAAATTTCAATAAAGCCGAGGAAAGATCAAGTGGGTAAGTGTATCTTTTTGGGTCGGGGAAAAGCCAAAAAAGAAAGAGGAAAATCCGTTGGACCATAAAATCAGCACAACCCAAACACACATCATCATCAGGACGATCATCATCGCCAATAAGTGGAAGACAACAAACATGGTCCGGCACTTTAATCAAATACGACCGCAGCAACAAGAGGCTGTTCACCCCCAAAGGATGCCTCTGGATGCTGCCTGGATGTGGGGGCTAAAATTTCAATGAAGCCATTGGCAGCCAAGAGGCTTAGAAGTGCTGGCTGGCTGGGAACAAAAAAAGAGCAGAAACTATTAAAGTAAGTGGAAATGGAGGCATCAAGCCGGAAACACGAGCTCACACGTCGTCCTGGGAGGGCTGCCATTGACAGGCCAAGTGGAAGCTTTGAACCTTTTATGTGCTTTTAATTTTAATACAACAAAAAGGCAGAAAACAAAACGATTTTCCTGCCTTTAGTTGCCACTTTGGGTGCTCTTCGCCTGTAAGGCTGCTGCTGCTCCTGCTCCTGCTACTGCGCATTTTCAATTTGCTTTCGCTTTGCATAAGGATTGCAATTCACGCCAGCTGTTGGCATTCGCACGGATAAGCCTGTGCGTACCACACTGCGTATGAGAGATGAACAGGGGTGCCTCCTTTGATGCAGCCACAATTAATTGCTCGTCCTTGAAGGTGTCACCTGCAACAACGCTAGTCAGCCGAAAGTAGGAGCCCAGCTATGCCCGCAGGCATTCGGTTTATCAATTAGATGAGGCTGATATAATTAAAAGCCCTCACCGACAGCTCCTTTGTCCATGACAAATAGCAGCGAATGAACCACACACACACACACACTCGGCCCAAGCCTGACTTTATCGAAACTATGGTGCGAGTAAATGCCATCGCACTTCAGGCATCCGGTCTAGACTCCATTATGATGTACAGAACAGCGTAGAGTATAGTGTGCTCTGGCCCGGTCCCCTAGGAGCCTGCTGGCAGCTGCTGGGCCCTACTTAAAGATACAATAAAAAAGCTGGCATTCCTACTGGGGGCATCTGCATAGTACTGCGCGTGTGTGGGTGTGCGCTTTATGCCCCATTCACAGGTCGGCGGGAAAAACGTTTAATCTAGCATAAACATATGGAACACAGGCATTTACATGCGACACACATTAGGTGATGAAGGCGCCAGGTGAGCAGGAGTACTGCCAGTGCTCCCTTTAAATCGCGCTCGGCTTTAAGCTGGAAATTAATTATGCAATCTCGGAGTGGGCTAAGCAAACAGTGGCTGCTTTCGATTTCTCTCATAACGGAATATATAAACCTTTGCTTTTTTCGCTGACTGCCTGCTGTTGACTTTTCATCTGAAGGAAAAAAATATGAAATACTTGGAAAAACAATTGGAACAAAATACATTTGGAAAATGAGTTTCAAAGGGGGAGAAGCAAATTCAAATTAAAGTAATGTGTAGGTGCATTCCTGGAAATCCTAAGCTTAGGATAAACAGGGAAATGGGACTTATAACACATACTTAATAAATATTATTTAGGGCTTCGTTGATAACCGCACTATCGCAATGGCAACGAGTGAAAGCAAAAAATCCCCATAAAGCAGGACGAGGGAAACATGCTTAAATCCGATTACAAAGGATTCACAATCCAGTGCTCGAATAGAGTGGGTATTGCCATCGGGTACTTTTTCCACCTTCTATTTATTTGACAAATTTCGAGTTTATGATGGACTCCGGGGGCTTCCAGGGGATGCTCCCACTCGCCCCATCCATGCTTGCTGCCATGTGCGAGCTTTGTAATCGTAATAAAAATGCACAACATGGCACAACGCTCATCTCCAGCCTCAGCTTTAGCTCCATCTCCAGCTCCTGCTCCTGCTCCTCCGGGCGGGACACACAAAAGGCAGATCTAAAGGCAACTTAGAGCTTACTTAGACATGTTAACTGCTGCGAGGACTCTTTGTGTCTACACCTCCATGAAGGGCAGAAGCGACTGAGAGAAAGTTGCGGCGGCTACAAATTTAATGCGCTTACGATAAATTTTTATTATTCGAGCGAATGCTGCCGTTAAAATTGGATATTGAAGACCCCACCTAGGGCGGGGTGGCATGAGTACGGGGATTCGGGGGGGAGATAGCATGCGGGAAATTTGAATTTTTCGCCATAATCGTAACTTGTCTCGGTTGGCAGGCACTTTAAAGTCTTTACTTTTGCACTTGCACTCAGCAGTACGTGCTTTGTTTTTCTGTCAGTTGTTTATGCCTTAATGTGGCCATAAAATGCACGAGCTGGCGGCCAGAATGGGCGCATTCCAAATGACCACACGTTCCCTGGGCAAGCCGGACTCGTCCTGTCTGCCCGTGGGTCTTACTAGGTCACCGGGATTTGCTATTAGCCGGGCTTACCTGGCGTATACTTAATCACCCCGAAAAACTAGTTAAACTGCTGGGGAAACTGCAAGTCGGCACGTGAGATTGATTAAATTTGTGATTTATGTTCTCCGGAATCACCCGGGAGCACACAAAGCCCCAGACACACGGAGGGCACTGTCCGAGGGACTTCAAATATAACCGTCGCTTCCTGGCACTTCACTCAGAGCTATATTCGCGCTAGTCTCTCCTGGCCTCGTTCGAGGAGCGCGCGCGTGGCTATCAAGCTGGGAACTGGTTGGTCGCCGTCTTGGGAAGTGGCTTTTATAGGGTCCAACAGGCCACGAGGACTTGACGCCACAGCATTCAAAACACAACATGTTGCAGGTAGGGGTTGCGACCAAAACAAACCTTCGAGAAGGTCAGGGCGCAGGCGTCGGCAGGACAAAGCGCGCTCCTAGCCACGCTTAGCGGGTTCCGAAACCAAAGCTTTCGGCTTCGAGGATTACCCCTCGAACCTCGAACGGTTGCAATATAGCTCGTCGTTCCTCCGGCGCTGTCGGTTGGTAATAATTCCTTTGACAGTTCAATTTTGGGCAGACGGCCCCAAGTGTGTTTTTTGGCGAATTGGCATCTAATTATGGGTCAGCCGTCTTTGTGGCAACCTCAATTCTGCAGGAATACCTTGCTGTGTGCGATCAAATATTTAGTTTAATGCCGAGCATCCTCATTCCTTGAACGTCTGTCACCCACTTGACCATCAGGCTTGCTCAGCAATCACTCATATCCTATCCCAACTGGCGAACTTTATTAGTTTGGACACTCCTCCCCAGAAGAAGGCACTCCTGACATGGGAATTAAATCTGAAGAAACCTCGTGTCAGGCCCAGAGTCTTGCTGGAATGTTTACTTGGTTTTCTGAGCAAATATTGGCATACAAATGTTAATTATCCGCAAAGGCGAACAAAGCTGCCAAAAGGCAAGCAGTCTGAGGCACCTGGGGCGGGCCAACGGGGCGTATGCTCGATAATTGTTCGATCCCCCTCTCGTTAATATTCAATAGCTTGTATTAAATTCAAAGTGTTAACAAACTTTTGCACTTTGCATCGCCCCGAGTTGCGGACCCATTGAACACACACGCTGACTGGCTGGTTGGCAAAAAAGGGACATCCCGGCGAGGACCGATGTCCTTCGGCATCGCATGACGAGACGGGCCGGCTGACTGGCAGACCGGCAGACATGTTCCAGCTTACATGGGCAAGTATTTCATTAACCTGCCTCGTCCAGATACGCACATTGGCAGCTGCTGTCTATGTGAAGAGCGTTAACTTGTTTTCCCGGAACATCGTTTCTGCCCTCCCCTTTGTGTGTGGGGTCTTAACGAAGCCAGGACGAGCGTTAAATTGTGTCCACCGACCGTTGAAGTGAGCTGGTATTTTATTATCATTTTTGTGGTACCCTCCATTCAGTGGGAGGTGCAAACTTTCAAACACTTCAGGGACATTCAGGGTTCAGTGAGCATTCAGCTTTCACCTGGCAGATCCCCGTCAATGGAGTGCAGTCTGCATAAACACAATATGCAACTTAGCAACTTTCGAAATTAAATGGCAATTGCAAAAATGCAATATGCGAGCCACCATCGGAGGTTGACACAGGAAAACCAAGGCAACCACTGCAATCAAAGAGCGCTCTTTCGCCCACGCCCACGCCCACAGCCAGCCTCGGACAAAATGGTAAACTCTTTTGAATGGTAAACATGCGCATGACATAATTCCTTAATTACCAAAGTTGTCAGACGCACTTAAAAGTGAGTTACAATTACAATTTCGCCTCAACAATTGTCTGTTGCATGCTGCAGGTAGCGGAACGATAGTTCGGTCCATGCCACCTGGGGAGCAACTCCAACGTGTGCTCGACATGACCATTAGAATGCGAGGACGTTGATGTTAGATACTTGTATTAAGGGGTCCTTGGAGTGCTCGCACAAAGGATTGGGCTGTGACCCTTTTAGCTCAGTACATAAATGACTACCAACCCAACTGTTTAATGACAGTTTTTCATTTTTAAGTTAACTTTAAACAGAATCAGCTTATGTTTATTATAGACTTTCTGGTATCTGAAAGATTTATACATATGAATATATCCAAGATGGAAATTCAAACTCTTGATCAGCGTCAGCAGTCGAGCATATCTAGTCAGGTCCTTTTGCCGCTTACTATGCGAACTAATCTCATTATTTTAGAGCTACCTGAATGAAACTCTGCAGAGAGTCTTCTCTTGACTAATAGATAATTCCAGAATTAATAGGAAAGTAATAAGAAAATTGGAAATACCTTTATATGGTAATTATTTTAACATATTCGCTTATATTTTGATAAAGCTTGTTTTTTTTCCAATTTTAAAATAATTTCATTGTCTTTCTAACCACTTTCTAAAAGCCCCTGAAATAGGAATTGTACAATTACCCTTGACTAGCAAATGTAGTCCTACTTAAACCTTAATCTACCTTATAATTGGAACCTCTCTTATAAAAATATTAATTAATTTAGCACCAGAAATATCATTTAAAGATCAAAATAAACATAAAATATATTTACAAAAATTGATTGATAGCCACTAGATATATGTATTTAATTTTAAGCATGAGATTCCAAAAAAATGTTGTACATAAATATTTATATATATTTTAAGAATATTGGAATATTTAAAGCTTAAAAACTTGGGAATCGCCTTTTCTTGGCGTGGTATTTAAGTATATCCTTATTCTTTCTCTGTGTCACAAAAGTTTTTTTAAAACTAATAAACTTTGTGTGTTGACTCAGTATAAACGAAGAAAATCTATACAAAGTGTAAGCAAAAGGTGACTCTATAGTGCATTTATACAGTTAAAGTTTGCTAGCAAAAAAGTGTAGCAGGCCAATTGCATTAAGTAGGGTCTGGGCACGCGATTCGATGAGTTACGCTCTCTGAGAGAGCAGGTTACACTCTCTCTCTCAGAGAGCGTCACTACTGGTTTTCGGGGTTGAAGAGAGCTGCCTACGTGCAGCGAGATCACTGTCATTCGAGCGAACAAATTGTAAAGACGTGTGTGTAAAAGTACTTAAGAATAAATAAATATTTAATAAAACATCCTGTCACAAACTTCAGAAGTGGGATTGGGAAAAAAATTTCCCCCAACGCCAGTGTGAATAAAATGGATTTAAACATTAGTGACATAACAGTGGTACAATTAAAACGGTGGTTGGAGGTGCTGAAATTGTCGACAAAGGGAACGAAGAACGAGCTGTTTGCGCGGCTAGCCAAAGTTCCGGTAGAAGTTCGAGGAAGCGCTCCCGAAAATTGTACCGAAATGGATCAACAAATTTTGCAGCCGGACGTGGAGTCCCGTGAGCTGGACATGGAAAGCGGCGAGGAGATGCAGATCGAAGTTCAGACTCTGGAAAATTTGCGTGTCGAAATTGCAAAGGCACAGAAAAAGCTGGAAAATTTAAATCGCCAGATCGGCAACGAAGACACGGAGAATGAAGGAGGCGAAAATGCGCAACTGAGGAACAGAGACGGCAACAGCAGTTCCGAGAATTTGGAGCAGAGCGTTAGAAGCTTCGAGAACACACAGCGTGGCGATGACAGAGACGGCGAGATAGGCGGCGGTAGAAGCGGCGGCAGCGGCGATGACAGAGACGGCGAGATAGGCGGCGGTAGAAGCGGCGGTAGAAGCGGCGGCAGCGGCGATGACAGAGACGGCGAGATAGGCGGCGGTAGAAGCGGCGGCAGCGGCGAAGACAGAGACGGCGATATGAGCGGCGGCAGAGGTGAAGGCAGAGATGGAGATAAAAACGGCGACAGACGCGAAGAGCGAGACGGCGATAGAAGCGGCGTCAGAGGCAATTCTGGCGAAATTGGTGTGCAGCAAAACGGAGACAGATTTGAAACTAGCGGCTTGTTGTCACCCGGCTTTAACATGGCCAGGGAAATCTTAATGGATTTCACTGAGAAAGTGTCTGTGCGGTCGTGGATTGCGCAATACGAGAATATATCAGCGTTATATTCTCTGTCAGACATGCAGCGACGTGCTTTGCTGATCAGCAAATTGAAGGGAAATTCGTTGGAATGGATGCATGCTGATGCAGGGCGGTTTGCGAAGCCTGTTAATGAGTTGCTGGAACAACTCAAGTTGGCGTTTGGAGGCATCGAGTCCAAGTCTGTCCTACGTCGCAAGTTCGAAGCGCGTAGTTGGTCTCCAAATGAGCAGTTTGCCACATACTTTGGCGAGAAATGCAGACTGGCTCGAGATGTCGCAATGGACGAGGACGAACTACTGGATGGGCTCGTGGAGGGCATTCCAGTACTTAGCTTGCGTACACAGGCCAAGCTCCAATGTTTTGATGGCCCGGAGAGGATGCTGAGGGCGTTTGCAGACATTAGGCTCCCAGCAAAGGGGCCAGCCATGGCGAAATTGGCGGCAGCGAAGGCGGTTCCAGCGAGCAGCGAGACTCGTTGCTTCAATTGCAACGCGAAGGGGCACTGGAAGAGGGAGTGCACTAAGCCAAAGAGGTCGCCAGGTTCGTGCTACGGATGCGGCGCAGAGGATCACCGGATTGCTGAATGCCCCGGAAATAAGAAGAAGGCAGAAAACAATTATGTAAGATTGTTGAAAATTTTTTGCAGTGAATATCCTAACCAGCCTATTATTACAGAGTGCCAAATAGATTCGGGAAGCCCAGTTTCATTTATTAAGCGTTCATATGTACCAGCGAATATTAAATTAGAACCTCAAGAAGAGAGTTATTTTGGAATAAACAAAAGCTTATTGAAAAGTTTTGGAAAAATATTATGCTTTATATATAAAAATGAAATAAAGATTTGGTTTAAATTAATTGTAGTGGCTGATGAATCTATGGGCTGTAATATTGTGCTGGGTAGAGATTTTATGAAAGTTTGTGGTCTAGAAATTGATTTGGAAGCATTGAAAATTGTAACTGTAGAGTGTATTGAAACTGATGTCGAGAAGAAAGCGAAAGAGCTTTCCAACAATTGTATGGAACTAAAAAATGCAGGAATAAAATTAGGCGACATAAAGTTAGGTACAAGATTAGGAGATAGTTATTTGGATGAACAGTTAGGTGAAACGTTAGGTGAAAAGAATTTAGGTACAACATTAGAGGAAAAGAGTTTAGGTACAACATTAGAGGGAAAGAGTTTAGGTACAACATTAGAGGGAAAGAGTTTAGGTACAAAATTAATTAGAAACAGTTTAGGTACAAGCTTAGGTAAACAAAGTTTAGGTACAATTTGGAATGAGAATTTTGAAGGTACAGTTTTGAATAAAGATTCATTGTGGAATGCATATGAGGAAGATGTAAGGATAGGTGGAACAAACAATTTCGATGAGCAACTTTTAGGTACAAAGAAGTTAGATGAACCAATGGGAGTTTTGGAGGAAAATTTTGAAAAGGAAATGATGCAAATAAATATGTTAGAGCATGAGAAGGAAGAAAGGGTTTATGATATTGGAGAACAGGTTAGTTATACAGACAAAATAAAGTTAATTGGAATATTAGAGTCGAATTATATACATGTTCCGAGGCCTGAATTGCCGAAAAGTAGATGTGAAATTAATATAATTCTGGAGAACTCAAAACCATTTAGTTGTGTACCTAGGAGGCTATCGTATAGTGAAAAGGAAGCGTTACAGAAATTGTTAGATGAATACTTAGAAAATGGGATTATTCAGAGTAGTAGGTCTGAATACGCTTCTCCAATAGTGTTAGTGAAGAAAACGAGTGGCGAGCTTAGACTATGCATCGATTTCAGAAGGCTAAACAAAATTATGGTCAAAGATAATTATCCAATTCCTTTAATTGATGACTTATTGGATAAATTGGTTGGAAAATCGGTATTTACAAAATTGGATTTAAAGAATGGGTACTTTCATGTGTTCGTGAACAAAGATTCGGTGAAGTATACATCTTTTACAACGCCATTAGGACAGTTTGAGTTTTTACGTATGCCAATGGGTTTGAAAACAGCGCCTCAGGTATTTCAAAGATTTGTGAATGATATTTTTTCTGATATGATTCGAGAAAATAAGGTTATAATATACATGGATGATATTTTAATTGCAAGTCACGATATCAAAGAACATTTAGAAATATTAGTAGAAGTATTTAGGAGATTAGTGGAAAATAAATTAGAACTTAGAATGGATAAATGCAAGTTTCTACAAGATAAGGTAAAATATTTAGGTTTCTTAATTTCAAAGGAAGGAATAAAAGCTGATGAGAAGGGATTAGAAGCAATAAAAAATTTTCCAATTCCGAGTAAAGTGCAAGCTGTGCAAAGTTTCTTAGGTTTGTGTTCTTATTTTCGACGATTTATAAAGGACTTTTCGATATTGGCAAAACCTCTATATGACTTGTTGAGAAAAGATAAGACGTTCGAGTTTGGGAAAGCAGAGTTGGATTGTTTTACACTTTTGAAGGATAAATTAGTAGCAGCCCCAGTGCTGGCTCTATATGATCATAGAGATGATATTGAGCTTCATTGCGATGCGAGTGCGTTAGGTTTTGGAGCTGTACTGCTGCAGAGGAAGGAAGATAAGAAACTACACCCAATATTTTACTTTTCGAAGAGATCCACTCCGACTGAGGCGAAATATCATAGCTTTGAGTTAGAGACGTTAGCTATTATTTATGCACTTAGAAGGTTTAGGATATATTTACAGGGTAAACCTTTCAAAATCGTAACAGACTGTAACTCGTTAACATTAACTCTGAATAAGATAGACTTAAACCCAAGAATTGCGAGATGGGCGTTAGAGCTACAGGAATTTGATTATGAATTGAAGCACAGAGCAGGTAGGCAAATGCAGCATGTCGATGCACTTAGCAGATGTAATAATGTTATGATAATAGACGCAAATACTTTTGAGGATAACTTAATAATTTGTCAGGCAAGAGATACTAAGCTAAAAGAAATTAGGAAAATTTTAGAGAACAGAGAACATAAATGGTTTGAGATGAGGAATGGGGTTATATATAGGAAGGATAATAACAATAGACTTCTGTTTTATGTACCAAGTAGAATGGAGCAACATGTTTTGTACAAGTATCATGACGAATTAGGGCATATTGGACGGGATAAGATGTTAGACGCTATTAGTAAAAGTTATTGGTTCCCGAGCATGAAAGATAAGGTTTGTGAACACATTCAAAACTGTTTGAAGTGTATAGCGTTCTCTCCTAAAGTAGGTAAAGGAGATGGACTGCTACACAGTATACCGAAAGGCAATAAGCCATTTGAGGTGATACATATTGATCATTATGGCCCAGTAGACAATAGCAGATCAAAGAAGCATATATTAGTGGTGATAGATGGATTCACGAAATTTGTTAGGCTTTATACTACGAAAACAACAAACACAAAGGAAGTTTTGAGCGCATTAGCAGACTATTTTCGGGCGTATAGCAGACCTAGGTGTATTATATCAGATCGAGGAAGTTGCTTCACATCAACGGATTTCGCAAATTTTGTTGAGGAAAGGAATATAAAACACATAAAAATTGCTACGGGATCACCACAAGCCAATGGTCAAGTGGAGCGAGTAAATAGAAGTTTAGGACCGATGATTGCGAAACTTTCAGAACCAGAAAGAGGACTACATTGGGATGTAGTAGTAGAGAAGGTAGAGTATTCGTTGAATAATACACTGCATAGCAGCATTAAGCAGTTTCCCAGTGAAATTTTATTCGGAATAGCCCAGAGGGGAGAAGATAGTGATGAATTTAAGGAAAAGTTAAAAGAGGAAGAAAAAGTTAGAGAAACGTTAGAGGATGATGATGATGAAATTATTGAGGAAAACAGGAGAAATTTAGAACAACTAAGAAGAAAATTAGAAGGCGAAGAGGAAATTGAAGAAAATTTAGAAGGTGAAGAAAAAATTATAGAAAACTTAGAAAGTGAAGAAGAAATCATTGAGGAAAATAGGAAAAATTTAGAACAACTTAGACAGAAAGCAGAAGAAAATCAAAGAAAGTCGCAGTTAAGAAACGAAACCTATTACAATTCAAAAAGAAAGCTGAATTCAGAATACAGAGAAGGAGACTATGTAATGGTAAAGAATTTTGATAGTACCGCAGGAGTTAGTAGGAAGTTAATACCCAAAAACAAAGGACCGTACATTATTGGAAAAGTTTTGAGAAATGATAGATTTTTGTTAAAAGACATCGATGGGTTTCAATTATCTCGAAATCCATATCAAGGAGTTTGGAGCGCTAATAATATTCGGCATTGGATGAAAGATGATAGTAAATCTAGATAAATAAAATTGAAACAGAATGTTAAAGATAAAAATCAAGAAAATTGTAAACTAAAAAATGAGAAAAGAAATTGTACAAACTATATGAATTGTTAACTAATTCTAAGACTAAATTTAAGATATTTTTAGCCGAGATAGTGGGCTATCTCAAGGTCAGGACGGCCGAGTTGTAGCAGGCCAATTGCATTAAGTAGGGTCTGGGCACGCGATTCGATGAGTTACGCTCTCTGAGAGAGCAGGTTACACTCTCTCTCTCAGAGAGCGTCACTACTGGTTTTCGGGGTTGAAGAGAGCTGCCTACGTGCAGCGAGATCACTGTCATTCGAGCGAACAAATTGTAAAGACGTGTGTGTAAAAGTACTTAAGAATAAATAAATATTTAATAAAACATCCTGTCACAAAAGTCAAGCCGTTCTAGGTCATTTCTTAAAGTCTTCCCTTTTACCAGGCACTAGGACTTGAGTCAAATAATAATAATAAATAAAGTACCCTACACACTGATAGGTGGCGAGCAGATCAGACATTTCCTGTCAATTTGGGCAAACGAGGCAAGGACCTGTCAGCTCCAGAAGTAGTTCGAGATGGCATCCCGAATCTTGGCGGGGGAGAGTCTGTCCGAGTGCCGTGTCGGGTTGCCTGCCGCCAAAAACCAGTCCTCACACACCAACCAAGCCAGAGCCCATCTTTAACCGCCTTTACCCTTGGCACTTGTTGAGAAATTTTCTATTTGCAGATGTGCGCGATGCATTTCCTTTGCATCTCCCAATGCGGTTGATGTTTTTGCTGCTGCTTCTGCTGTTTGTGTTGTCATTTCAATTTCAATTTGCTGACGGAAACTTGAGCGTAGCCCATGACAACGCAGCCGAACTTTCGGCGTCGCCCTGGCCACCAATTAGTGCCAGAGTCAGCCGGGGACTACAGCCTTCGAAAGTGTAACAAAATTCCAAGGAATTGTCGGGTCTCCAAGTGAAGGGCCAAACGGCATGGCATCACGGCAGCACGGATTTAATTAAAATGTTTTCCACGTGCGTAAATCCCGCTCTAATTGTTTCACAGCCCATCTAGCACTCGGCTGCATGTCAGCAGCGGGAGGTGCACATCATTTCGCTCACAATAAACTTTAATAATGGCCCGGAATCATGGGCAGGTATATGCCACAACGTGTTATTAAAACTCGGGCTGGAGAGGATATCACACAGGCAGCCGCAAAAATTTGTCAAATTTAATTTACACCTGTTTAGAAGTATGCAAATATCCGCCCCCGGAGGCGGGTCGTGGGGCATCAACGGTCAGGGCCCTTCCAAATCTTCGCCGAAATGCCAGCGAGCAAAACACGGAGGACAACAATTTAGCTGCAGTCATAAACATTCGCTCCTGGGGAAAAAAGGAAAGCGGAAAAAGGGAAAACACAACAGAGGAAAAAGTGGATGGAAGGAGGAACTGAAGCCAGAGGATGTGTTGCGGATGATTGCAGCAAATTGCCAACACAGTTGTTGACTTTCGGCCATGTGCGTGTCCGTGAGCGCTTGTGCTTGGTCCTTGGCCACTTACCACTGGCATTCAGATTGCCAGCTTTTTCAGCTTTTCCCAGTGCAGCTAGCCTTCGGTCTCGGCTTTTCTTTTTGCTCGGCCGCTGTGCCATGGATTGATAGCTATACTAACTTTGATTTATTACCAGCTGCACACACACACACATACACAGGGGACTGATACGGGTCTGCCAAACTCTGTCGCTTCTGGGCACTTGGCCAGGTTAGTAGCTCGACGGTAGCAAGTCCTCTTAATAAACCATCAATGTCAACTGCAAGCCGGATGGCTCTAATTACAGCAACATGGAGCAGCCTGCCAGAAGCATTATGCAACCGAAACTAATCAGCAAAACGGCTTGTTATACTTGTCAGTGTTTGACATCGAAAATTGGCGTTTATTGGATGCGAACAGGAGAGCATATTGAGTTTATGCATCTTGGAGTCAGAGCTGGCTTACGTGACCCAGGAAGAGTGTGCTCTGCGCGTCCTTTATGGCAAAGAAGAATGGGTGATCTGCTGTGAACTCAAAGGTCTCCTCGCCCACCAAATAAGACTCCAGCTGCGCCTTGATAACTGTGGGGAAAGGAATCCATTCAGCTGGTCAACAACTTCTTAGTATCTTTCGGTGACAAACTTACAAGTAGCTCCGCTGGCAGTGGTTCCCTTCTCGTTTACCTCAATGATGGCCTTGTGCTTCACCTCCGAGATGCGAAGAGGCGCCGAGGCTTGCAGCAGGCTGCCGAGGTCTGCCTGAGGAGTGAATAGTTTTCGGATGCCCAGCTGTAAGAAAGAACTGGGTTAGGAAGAGTCTCTCAATTTCATTTAAAGAAAAATATGTTCTTCACTTTTAGTGAAAAGGGTACCAGCTTCTGCCAAGCTCTCTTGTTATTGACGTCCATCACTTTTCATGAGATATTTCAGATAAATATACCATATTCACTAATACTCACCTCCTCCAGGACTGGCTGCAGGGGGACATCGAACTCGAATTTGAATTTTGGAAGTTGCACATTGACCTTCCGCCTGCTCAACTGGGAGCTGATTTCGTCCAGGTCCAGGCCGTTCAACTTCTGTTCGAGGGACGCCAGTCCCTGCTCTTCCTGGGGCAGGATGATCAGAAAGACGATATCCGTGCCTGAGTATGGCAGTTCCAGGGCTTTGGCCTTCAGCTCTGACAGCTCGCCGTACCTAAAATAATCCGATTGGGACATGGTGTCCACGTTGACCCTTCGACCTCCGTGATTGACAAAGTCGCGGGCATATGTAGAGTAGTCGGGGAAGCTGCTCAGCCAGTCGGCCTTAAAGTAAATGGCATTGACCAGGATGGCAGCCGTGCTTTCGTCGAGCGAGTCCGGGGCAATAAGGCCCTTGATTTGCTGGTGGGTCTGCTCCTCCACCCAGGCATTAATGCGCTTTGCCGCCTCTGCACCCTGGGTGAAGTTCACATTCTCGGCCCCTGCTGCGAAGTTTTTGCTGACCAGCTCTTGGTACACCTGGGCCAGCTGGAACTGCTGAGCCACAAAAATCCGATTGGCATACTTCAATTCGGCCGCAACCTCGTCTCCGTCACCTGCCTGCGTCTGCTGCTGTCCTTTGGCCAGGAGCTGCGCAAAGTGCTGAGCCACCTCGGTCTTGCCAGCTCCCTCCAGGCCCAGTCCCTGCTTCAGCTCATCGGCGGTGCTACCGTCGGCGCCCATGTAGGCCAGTGCCAAGCCCGTCCTGATGGACGATGGCGAAAGGACGATATTCCGGGCCGGCTCGGCCTTGGCCAGTTTGCCATAAAGCTTCGAGGCGAATTTCGCATCGCCCGCAAAGCTTTTAGAGTAGTTTACAGTATTGGCCATGGCCAGAATCAAGACCTGGAGGAGAAAAATTAACAACGTGGCCTTGGCTGCAGGCAGTTCACGTCAAAAATCAACAAGACGGAAATTAATTCGGTACCAGAACCCTTACTACCTGCCTACCTGACATGATGGAACGAACTGAGCTGAGCTCAAATTTATGGTTCTCGTAAGAGCTGTTTTTTGGTTATCATTTGGGTTAAGACTGGTTTCTTGGGGAGTTTTTTTACTAATTTGTGCCTGATTTTATGCTGTAAACCCACAGTCCTGCAACAGGTTTTTGTTTACAGGTAGATCCCATTCAAATACTATTCAATTTAACTAAAAAACGTACAACATTAATGCTAGAAAATAAATGATTCCAATTAGAATATGTGTTCATTGTATTTTATAAGTAACGTTAAGTTTTCCCAGAAATTTTTATTTATAATGCATTTTAATTTATTAGAAATACCTAAACTAAATGATAATAACGAGAATACAGACCGACATGAATAATATGGGTTTTTGATTGATAAAGTTGTTAGTACCTTTTTATATATTTAATTATATATATTTTGTTACGCTATAGTTGCAATAGTATATGGTGATTGCCGCTGTATAAACTTTATAGACATATTTCCCATTCTCAGTTGTAACCTATTTGTTGTTTCTAGAGGTTGTGCCAATTAAATCGGCATTTCCGACCTTCTAAACCATATTTAGTCGTGACTATTTAAGTTTTAATTGTAACAGATTAATTTCTTATTAAAAACTGAATGAATCACAGTTGTCAGCAAAGCAAACATTAGTATTAAAAATGTTTTTTAATCGGGGAAAATATTGGGCTTACTCAGTTTATTGGTTATAATTTCAAGATTAACTTAAATCACATCCAACTGATAACTCAAAAAAAAATTTTTCCAATTTTATTACCAATTGAATTTGTCACAATTTAAGAGAACATACTTCCTCCGGTTCTCTTTTTGACGACTCTCTTTTTTTACACTCACTCTCCCAATCTTCGCCCATTTCGTCACGCTCTTGGGCGCTCTTTTTCTATTGTTGACACGCGGTGATGTCATTTTGTTTACAAATAAATCAAATTCCCTTTTCTCAAAATTATAGTAAAAAATAAAATAATAATTGTACTTGCTTACATTTTAGTTTCTATTTACTAACAAAGTAACTCGAATATTTGGCGGTGATTCCCACTACTTTTCACGGAAAATCCCGCGGTGCGAAGGCATCTGCGTTATGTTAATTAAAAAAGACACAAAAGTATTTTCTGGAGATGGGGCCATCCATCCACTTAACCTATTTCTAGCCCTTCAAGGGAAGCCGCCTGAGAGATAAATGTCTCCCGAAATAGTAAGATCTTACTTAACGTATTGAGATCACCCATTTCATTATTTAAATTGAAAATACGAGGTTAGAGGGTATCAATATTTCAAGGTTTAAGAAAGTTTTCTTTTAAATTCCTATCAATAGTTAAAAACCTCTAAAATCACATATTAAGTGAAAACAAACGAAACATAAGCTGCTTCCCTATGTATCGACAATAAACTTTAGGATTTCAAAGAATTTAATATCATTCGTAAATCTACAGGAGTTTCTAGATGTCAATTTTTGGACTTCATACAAAGAACATTTTCTTATAATTTACTAAATTATTTATTTTTGGTTAGGTTTGCTATCCAGATCTAAACATATAGATACATGGTTCAAAGGCTAGCTTATAACGGATTGATTATTATATTTCTTCATGGGTTTACAACTCGTCCCTGAAAATATATAGTGTCTCCATCGTGAATTACAAAGGCAAAGGGATGATCCGCAATGAAGGACACGCTGAATCCGGATCGATTCGACACAACTGCAGCTAGGGATCATAAAACATAAGCACTTAGTTCACATTCGTAATCCATTAATAATCATTATCACTTACATGTGGCAGCCGCAGCCTCCGCACCCTCCTCGTTCACCTCCAGGTAGGCCTTGTGCGCGACTTGACTGAGTTTTCCGTCAGACTTATCGGCAAATAATCCGCTCAGGTCAGCCCTATCCGAGAAAAGCTCGTGGACGCCCAGCTAAAATGGGGTTATTAGTCATTTGTTGTTACTTATTAGAAGGCAACCCACCTTTTCCAGGGTGTCCTTCAGCTCGTCATGGAACTCGATCTTAAATCTGGGCAGCTTCACGAACACCTCCTGCAGCTTCAGCGGCCGTGAGAAACCAACGATTTTCTCCTCCAGGGCACTCAGACCTGCTACGTCGCGGGGCAGAAAGATAGTCATCGACAGGTTGGAGTTCCGGTACGGCAGCTCGACCACCTGGCAGCCCAGGTCGTGGAAATAGTCGGTCCTGAAGTTGCCCAACTGCATCATCATCGGCACGGACACACTCTTATCGGGGCTAACGTGGAAGTCAGAGTTTCTGGTCCTCTGTGGGTCAAACCCGGACTCCCACTGACCCCTGAAGTAGATGGCGTTCAGCAGCACCGCCTGTACATCGGATGTCATGCTGCTAGGATCGATCATGTTCTTGATTTTGCCATCCGTCTGGCCCAGCACCCACTGGTTGATCCCCGCGGCTGCCGCGGGCCCATTGGCCAGACTGATAAGCTCGGCTTCGGCCTGGAAGGCCTCTCGCACAACCTGATTGTAGCCGGGGCTCAGGGTGTACTGATCGTTTACGTAGATGCGGTTCGCCAGCTTCAGTGTGGGACCCCCCTCACGGCCGGGCAGGGTGGCGAGGAGGGCCTTGTACTTCCTAGCCACCTCTTGCTTTTCGCCAGACGGCAGCTTTAGAGCACTCTGCATTTCCCGGGCTGTTGACCCGCCCGCTCCCATGTACACCATGCTCAGGGCGGCCTCGATGGAGAGCGGCGAGACGATGAGGTTTTCGTTGGCATGGCTCTTGGCCAGCAGCTGGTAGACTTCCTCGGAGGCTTGGCACGCCACACAAGTGACCCACAGAATTAAAGCCACTGCGCAGAAAGACAAACGTGTACAAGTTGAGAGCGGTTTACCTCAAGGTCAACGCGAGACATAACATTCCCACTTAAAAAACTCTTTTTATGTGTAATAAATAAATCATATATGATATAAATCAATCCCACAGCGCTTCTATTTATATTCCAGCATTCCAGCTGCGTCTCGCCACTTACACAAGTTATTCATTTGACCACCACAGACGAACTGGTCCCCGAGAGAAGTAATAGTGCTAACTGAGCTGGGTTTGCCAAGACTTGGCTTATATATGCACCTTATCTCCGGCGAGATTGCAAGGCGGCTGAGAACAGAGCGTGCAACGCTCTTAGATGGAAATTGAATGACTCTCGGGATTTCCCCAGCTGTTGACTGACTTTTATTGGGTCTCTCTGCCTCTTCCCTGGACTGTACACTATACACTGACTTTGGAGCCCTGACGCCTCTCATTCAAATACTTCCTCTTCTTCTTCCTTGAAACTGGAGACGGGGGTCACGAACCGGCCGGAAAAGAACACTGCCTGAGCGCTGCGTATGTAGAACACAAACGGATGGTCCGCCTTGAATAGCTTCTTGTTCATATTCAGCATCATGGGCACGATCTTCATGACTACAAGAGATAGAGGAAGTCAGCAAGGGAACTTGAAGAGTAATTTCTGGCACTCACAGCTGACGGCTGCCGCTTCTGATCCAGCCTCGTTGACGTTGATGTAGCCCCGGTGCCTGGCCGCCGAGATCTTCTGGCTCTTCCGAGACGTGAAGAGTTTGTCCAGGAGAGCTTTGTCGCTGAAGACTTCCTTAATGCCTATCTGCAGGTGGAAGTATGAGGTTTTTACCGAAAATCAGGCAATTTATAACTTCGTCTTTCTTTTGAAAGTTAATTCAGGGAGCTACTTACCTGATTTAATATTTCCTTGAGGTCCACATCGTACTCGATGGTCATTCTGGGTAGGATAAGCTCTACGTCCTGTATAGTCATGGCCGCATCAATATCGGCCAAGTCAACGTCCTTCAGCTGGCACTCCAGCTGGTGCAGACCACGCACCTCATTGGGCAACAGAATGAGCATGTGGATGTTCGAGTAGTCGTACGGCAGCTGCACGGCTCGCGCCTTCAGGTGTGGGAGATCAGCGAACCTGAACTTGTCCTCCTGGTACATCATGTGAACCGGCACGCGGTTGCACGGGTCCACATGGAAGTCGCCCAGCTGTGTGGCCTCCGGCATAAACGGCTTTTGCCAGAGTCCCTTGAAGTACAGCGCATTGATGAGCACTGCGCTCGTCTCCCCATTCACGGCATCCGCCTGCAGCAGGTTGCTTATTTTGTGTTCCGTCTCCTGCTCCACCCAGTCGTTGATCTTCTGCGTTGCGGCTTCCGAGTCTGCGAACTTTGCTGGCTCCGCCTTAGACTGAAAGAAATCCACGGCCATCTCATTGAACTCGGGCTGCAGTTCCAGGTCATCGTTCACAAACAGTCGGTTGACTGACTTCAGCACAGGTCCCCTGGCTCCGTAGTTGCAGCTCGTTTGCCAGAACTCCCCGAAGGTGCGGGCTATGTGATGCCGGTCACCGGGACCGAGTTGCAGGACATTCCTTAGCTCCTCGGCCGTCGATCCGGAGGCACCCAGGTAGGCCAGCGTTAGGCAACTTTGGACAGATGCAGGCGAGAAAACTGTGTTGACCCAGGGCTCCTCGCCCCGTGTAACGACATCCTGGGTTATGGCATCTATCAGAATGCGTGCAAAGAGATTCCTGCTGTCTTGGGGATCACACATTTCGATCTACAGAAAAGGAAATTTGATCAGGGATTTTAAAATATATTTAGCCGCATTTTTGGTTTTAGAGTGAAAGCTTATTCGGTTATCATTTTGTATTCTATTTTATTTGAGAGTAGAAACGTGTACGAATATATTTGTTTATTAAACTATTTTGTTTTGACAGTTTAGCGGCGCATTAGGGTCTTTCCCTCGGCATTCACTTTCCTCACAATAAATTGCCTTTCAGCACGCCATAAACGCTAATTAAATGATTAAAATGGCCACGACAAATGATAAGGCACGGAACACAACAAAATACTTTTGTGGATAGCTCTGCTCATCTTTTCCCCTGTTTTCAGCCTTCGTTCAGATATGTCACTGTTGTCTTCACTAAATACTTGCTGTAAGTCCCTTAAAAAGAGCTACTTTAATTTGTCAAAGACATAAAATAAAACTCCATCGAATGTTTATTTACAGCTGAGTGACAACGTGAGGGCAGGTCTACGACCTTATAGCGCCAACCCTGATAACGATCGGCGATTACTTACACTGGAAAAAACAATCAAAAACTGAGGAGAATCGAGCGTGGGATTAGGTCCGACGGTGTCTGCTAGACGGTGAGGAGCTAACTGACGCCCGGAACCATCGGCTGTGACTCACAACTGAACGATGGTGGAAGCGTCCCGATAAGATAAATTCCAAGAGAGCATAACGCCAGGTGCCTTTTAAAGAGAGAGAGAGTCCGCCAGGTGATTAAGCTGGAACAGAAGCACTTCCCCGACTAACACTCTGACAGGTGGACGGCTGATAAGCCTATTGCCCTTCCCATTCCAATAATTATAATTATTCAAAGCCAGAAAATTGTCTCATTAAGTGTGCCTTGCCCCAACTACCTACAACTATCTCAAAGATGTTTACAAATTTCCAAAAAATTTAAATTCACTGTGGTAGCCTCCAGAAGATCACTTCCACCATGCAGGACGCAGAGTTTGCCAAAGGCTTGGAACACTTCACCTTCCGCCTACATGACCAGCTTACCCGAGCCAATCCCGACCGAAATGTCGTTTACTCGCCGCTCTCAATCCGCACATCGGGGGGCATGCTGCGGATGGCTGCGGTGGAAAATTCACCCACGGCCGCCGAACTAGACGCCGGTCTCCGGTTCAGCCCAGGCGACGTGCAGAGCATAGCCCAGAGCTTCGATGTCGTCCTTAGGGCCTACGAGCAGTGTGGTATCTTAAAACTGGCCAACCGGCTGTATGTGATGATGGGTCTTACGCCCGGCAAGAAGTTCGGCAGCATGTTGGAGAACAATTTCCACTCCAAGCCCATCGAGATCGATTTTGGCAGTGACCAAGCGGCTAAAACTATCAATAGCTGGGTGGAGTCGCAGACCAATGAGCTGATCAAGGACATCATCGGCCCCGGTGTCCTGTCAAGTCGCACTCGACTGGTGCTAGTCAATGCCATACACTTCAAGGGCGAGTGGGTTAACAAATTCGATGAGGAAGAGACCAAAAAGGAGAAGTTCTTCTTGGAGTCGAAACAATCGGCCGACGTGACTATGATGCATACGAGAAAGAACTTCTTTATTGGTGAACTGCCAAATCTGAAGGCCACTGCCCTGAGGCTGGACTACAGCGCATGCAACCTCGCCATGATCATCCTCCTGCCGGACGAGAATTCCAGCCTCCCAAACTTAGAGAAGTTGCTTGCTAGCACCTCACTGGAGGTCTTATCGTCGAGCATGGCGCTGGAACTAGTTGATGTAAAGATTCCAAAATTCCGAGCGGACTTTCAACAGGAGCTATCAGATACCTTCAAACTGGTTAGCAAAAGTAGTCTTGCTAAGTTTTCTGTACCCGGTACCCATAAGGTACATTGTAACGGAAGTTTCTGTCCTTCTTTATCATCAGCCAAGTCGATCTAGGCCATGGACGTCTATCCCTTTCTATGCAAACTAGTCTTTCAATCTGAATATTTATATGAAAGTGAAAGGTAGTTCTTGTTTTTAAATCGATCGATATAATGGATACCGGGTACCCTGTAGTCAACCATATTTGATTGTAGCTTTACAATTTGTTTATTTTTGCATTTTGACTACTCATAGATGAGCATGGGCCGTATATTCAGCGATCAGGCAGAGCTCGGAGAAATGTTGGCTTCACGAGAGCTTATTTCTGTATCCCATATCATACACAAAGCCTTCATTGAGGTCAATGAAGTGGGAACCGAGGCAGCCGCCGCCACGGGTGAGTGATGAAAACTTATTATCTTTCTATTTTAACCAACTTTATTCCTACATCCCAAGCTGTGGCAATTGCATTCAGGTCCGCGCATCTGCCAAAGGCGTTGGTGTTCCATGCCAACAGACCCTTCTTTTATGCAATCTACGACAAAGTCCATGGCTTTCTGTTTGCTGGTCGCTTTTGCACTCCACCTAGTGAAAGGGCATCCAATTGTAAATGTGATTTCGGAAAATCCTGTAACAAGTGCACTCGCTGCACACGATGTCGACAAAAAGATTGAACATCATTTCCAGTGCAGGATGCAAATAAAACCTTTGGATATATATTTACTATAATAAAGTTATGATCAAGGCAACCAGAAGAAGACAGAAAATATATTAAGTATATATATTTAATAACATAACACTACCCTGCCTCTCACTTTTTTAATTCTACGTCTAAACTGGTTCAGGTTATCAAACTGATTTTTTGATCTAACACATTACATTTTCAAAAAAACTAGGCCTTGAAACCAGACTGTACTATTACTTAATCAAGATCATTTTGCAAATTGGAATACGAACAAGAACCCAATATCTTAGCCTTAATTGTCAAGATAAACCAACGTTTTATAACCCTTTTGATCTGACAAATCTTAAATTAGGAAAATGCATTTTTTGGATTATAAAATTTATAGTATGTTATGTATCTATTTTTAAAACAAAAGTCCTGAAATTTTAAAAATATAGAAATAATGTATGCCACGGCAGTGATGTTTGTTTTAACTGGAGCAGGCTGTTTTATGCTCGGTGCCATTGCACAGCAAAATATATCGTACAGGAGAATTAGGGCTATCATGCTTGCCGATCCATATGTTTTCAAATGCCGGCAAAACATATTTAAGGCGGTAAGGTCCATTGATATTAAGGATACAAATATTTAGTCATTCCATATCTCAGTTAGGATTCCTTGGAAAACCAAGCGAGGAACCCAATATCACGACTGTTCATTCAACGGAGACAGTGGAGCAAGAAGAAGGTGACAAGACTCTACCAATTAAATCTAAATCGCAAGCAGATACATCCATATTTACGAAAATCGGATTGTGGAGTCGCATGCAGGCTAACAAAATGGCAAGTCGAACTGAAAATAAGCATAACATAATATGATTGAGTTACCTTCAGGTCCATTTAATGCCCCTGCCCATCGGGCCAGCTTATGATTCAGCTCTTGAAACTGAGCACGTAGAGGGTATCATGAAGTATGGCTTCCCGGGAATGGACGAAATACATGTGTATAAGAATTTTGTACTCTCCTACGATCGCCGAAATCGGATTCCGCATTGGGTGTGTGAGCACATCAAGAATGACTGTTTTACGAGTATAGACCAAAGGACTGTTTTCAAGCCGAATGAATATATTACGGACCATAGCATTCCCACAACCTTCTGTCCCAATATGCGGGACTTTCGGAACAGCGATTGGGTCGGAGGTCACATGGCCTCTCCGCAAAACTACAAATGCGACTATGAAAGGTTCGTCGAGACATACAAGTTCCCCAATATAATACCCATCAGTCGGGGTCTCAAAAATCACCTTTGGAGACGTTTGGAAAAATATGTCGAGGAGCTGGCGAAAAGATATGGTTCAGTATACGTATACACCGGTCCTCTATTCATGCCCCAGAGGATTTCTTTCCGAAACTGGGCGGTGCGCCATCACGTAATGGGCATGAATACTGTCGCAGTGCCAACTCACTTTTTTAAAATTATCATATGCGAGCAGGATGGTGATGACCTGCCCACTATGGAGGGCTTTGTAGTGCCCAATGCCGCAGTCGATAAGGAAATGGACCTGCGTTCTTTTATGTCCGATATTCGGGATATTGAGCATTTCGCGGGTCTTAAGTTTTATGAGGGGAAGCAGAACCTAGACGAGTCACCAGCTACCACGTCCGAGGACAACGATTCATAAACACTGTTATCAAATGACCGTATACGTTCTTATTATTATTATAATAAAAAATGTCTTAACACGGCTACATGGGAAACATAATTATCGACAATTTTTGCTTATTAACTTGTCCAAACAATGCTAATAAATAACTTGGGAATCAAGGAATTTTAGAAAACCATTATATTTATTTAAAAATTATGCCACGATTTCATTCTTATACAATTTAAAAATACCTTTTTTAAATGAATACTAATTTTTGAAGCGACTGCAATTTTGATTTAGCTATTTTTCTTGGGCCAATTTGCTGCTACTTTTTATGAACTTCTGGACTTGTGGGGTTCGGTGATGGGCTAGGGGGTGCCTTTTTGGCTGGATTCCCTTCCTTGCTGGGTGGCTTTTTAGGATCTTCTTTGGCCTTGGCGTTTGTCACTGGTGGAGATTTTCCTTGCTTGCTGCTTGCTTCATTTTTCTTTCCATCCGAAGTATTCTTTTGTTGAGCCTTGACTTCCTTTACAGGTTTTGTATCTTTTTCAGCCTTGATTTCTTTACCAGACTTTGCATCTTTTTCAGTCTTGACTTCTTTTCCAGGTTGGTTCCCTTTTCCAGGCTTGCCATCTTTGCTCACCGGTTTGTTTTTGGAGACCTTCTCCTTATCCTCCTTGGCCTTCGCCGCCAAAACGGCATCACCCACGGGAACATCGTTGATTTCGCAGGCAGGAGTCTTCTTCGGCTTGCCAAAGCACACATCGGCCAACTTAACATGATCGAGATTATAGCCAGACACACCGCGAATCTTGGGCTCTAAGTTCTTGGAGCTGACATCCGCATGGAGCTCCTGCAGTTCCACCTCCTTGCCCGTTAGCGCCTTCTTGCACTCTTCATCGACGTACTTCTTGATATTGACATCCAATTCCTTTAGTTCCTTCTCGGACATTAGGCACAAATCAAGGATCTGCTTTCGGAAGCTGGTGATCGGGTCATTCGTCTCTCTCGCCGTTTGCACCTCCTCCCTTGAGCGATACGATATGCCCGGGTCGGACATTGAGTGTCCCACATACCTATACGTGTTCATCTCGAGGACAATGGGTCCGTGCTCTAAGGCATAGTCCAACGCGAACTCGGTGGCAGTGCGAACTGCCAGGACCTGATTGCCATCTACCCACAATCCGGGAATGTACTGGCCACGCTTATAGTAGTCCGTCATGGCGGAAGAGCGTTCCGCCTTGGTGCCCATCCCGTATTGATTATTCTCGCATACAAACACGACGGGCAGGCACCAGAGTTTGGCCATGTTAAATGACTCGAACACCTGTCCCTGATTGGCTGCCCCATCGCCATACAATGAAATGCAGACTCCGCCGTCATTCCGATAGCTGTGTGCTAATGCCACGCCAGTGCCAACGGGCACCTGGGCACCGACAATGCCGTTTCCGCCGTAGAAATTATCACAGTACATATGCATGGAGCCACCTTTGCCCCGGCTGCAGCCAGGACGAAAGCCAAGCAGCTCGGACATCATTTCGTACAGCGAAACCCCCATCACGTAGCTCCAGACATGGCAACGGTACGCCGTTATCACCGAGTCCTGCTTACGGAGTCGGGCCTTCATGCCCACGGCCACTGCCTCCTGGCCGTTGTACAGGTGGCAAAAGCCGCGGATCAAGCGGCTCTTGTAGTAGTTGCCGGCCATCGTCTCGAATCGTCGTGCCTCAACCATTTGGGTGTACATTTCCAAGGCGTCATCGCGGGACAGTTCAACGTCCAATGAAGGGCCTTCCTCCAGGTTGTAGCACTTGAACGACTGCCGGAAATCAGGTGCTATATCATATATATTCTAGTATTGCTAGAAACTACTACCCCTTTCAAGTAAAAGTTCCCTCTTTCCGTTTGGATCTTGTTTTACATAATAGACTCACATTTTTCAAGGTCAAACAGCTGGACTCGTGGCGTCGGATAATCCCAAGGGCGACATTCTGGCCAGCGAAACTAGGATTTAATGGCGATCGGACTCCCTTACACCGCAGCAGTGCACGGAGGCTAAGTGAATTTAACATTGTCCCATATATAGTTCGATTTTGGCCAGAAGTATTTTTAAAGTAAAAAAACAACAGAACGACAGGTGAAACAAATGAACCTAAGCTAAGACTATACATAAAAAATGATTTTTAGAAGAACATACATACATTGGAATAGCGTCAATGCTATAATTTGGTTGCTGGCCATTTGACTAAGTAATGTCGATTCGATCACCCAACTATCAGAATCTTCGAAATCATCTCTTTGAATATTGGCATCCTTAAAAAATGTACAACTTCTCATACAGTGCTCCCTTTACACTTTCTTGCTTTCAGTTCTAGCGTAAATTTTGATGTATTGTATTTTTTATGAAAAAATAAATCGGAATTTTGCTAGTAATTGTTTACAGGAGTGTTTAGAATCTAGTATTTATTTTCTATACTTAGGGTGCTGCTATCCTGACTCTTAAGTCCGGTTTGACTCCTGTCTTAGGTCTGTTGTATAATATGTAGGATCATTATTCCCTTTATATCCAGCCGAAAGCGACAGCTGCAATGGCTAATATCCATCCTGAAGCCTAATTTACAATTTATTACTTTTATAAAAAGCTAACTTTCAACTTTTTTAAGTCCCCATGTTTTTGGTCATTTATGGTAATAAGGCTATCGAAAACACCCATTATCACTCATAACATCAATTGACCTTATACTAGTAATAAGGTTATCAATTCACCTCCTCCACTATTGAGTTCTTTTAATATGTTATGAATTTTGAAAAAAGACACGCCTCATGGATAATAGCTTCGCCCTAAGGTGTTTCTTATTTCACTAAATAATTCAGGTAAAATTGATTACCAATTAGTTAGGCACTTATTGTATTTCTTGTAATTATAACAACGAATATCAGTAAAATTTAGGTTGCCCAGGACGTCTGCATGATTTCCAACATCCAAGAACATCATGTATTATATATCATTTAAGAATATAACTAGGGAACGCAAAACTTCGTGTAGATTGAACTTTCCGGTATGTGAGTTGAGCATCTGAGAATTGCTTTTTCTCTTAATTTTTTTCAGATATAAATATTAAGTAATCTCTCCAATGTTTTTATGCTTAAAGTCAAGATGACCTGTGGCCCTACCCCTACTACCCTTTTCTGTTTGCAATATTTGCTGGAACTATCTCGTCTTTGCCCAGACTCTCGTACATGTCAAACGAGTCTATAGCTTATTGAAATCAAGTGAGAAATCGGTACTGAAATAATTAATTCTATGATTAAAGCAGCACTCATAGCAAGATGCAGCATTTTAATTAAACGCTAGTGAAAACCGTTTAACTCTATGTCAGTCTATATGTTATTTAAGTTAATATTGTAAGATATGCTTATGTATTTTCTTTAATAAAATGGTCATTCGTTTATGTTTTATTGTATTTAATTATATTTTTACATATACATTTAGCTGGGAAATTGTAATGAATTCTTGTTTTGTTGCCTTATCAGTTGCTGCTGCGAAATTTCCCATTATATTCAAAGACAACAACATACTCAAGCATGGCTTTGACACGAGCTGATAAGGCAGCACCTAGAAATAGTGAAGTGTCCGAAGTCAAGACAGTCTGAAACGCACATTTGAGGCACAAGGTTGACAAGCCTGAGACTTTTTATAAGGAATAATCCGACGGAAATAAGGAAGATGGAGAAACCTTTGCAATTTTGTGGTAAGTGCGGGGTTAGGGTATAGGGCAGTAGTCGGCACGTCCCAAGCCCATGGGATAGGCAAAGGCTCTGCCGGCAGCGCTGCCAGCACACGGATAGCGTAAACTTCACACACACGGAACACACTCACGTCATTTTTGCTCCGTACCTCACTCACACAAATGTGCTTTTTGGTTGATTGTGATGGTGCCGAGCACTGGTATAGGGTATGCTTCCTAAAGCAGTAAAAATTAGATAAGAGTTGCTAAAACTCTCTGCCGGCACAACTTTGCTTATGCTCCTACACCAATGCAATTTCCAATTGTGTGTATTGTGGACCGACCGACCCCTACACGTAAATTCAGAGCGACGCTGGCAGCGGTTCATATGACTGACAGTGGAAAACAAAACAGAGAGCACCGAGTGAGCGGAGAACATCCAAATGTTAAGAGATAGCCCCATAGGGAAACACAAAAATAAGAGCGAAACCTGTTGTTGTGGGGCATAAAACCCACGGCGCTCGCCGAGAGCATTTAGTATTTGTTCAAACGCCAAATCATAGAAGTCGAAGGCGGCTCTGCACTGACATCAACTGCAACGATAAAGTGGAAGAAATCCAATCTGCTGGAGAAAGCTCTGTGGGAAGCAGGAATTATTGGAGGCAGTAAATCAACATTTCCGATAAGCGAAGCCTTGTAGATCCCCGGCGCAACGGCATACCAGAGAACTAACGTCAACACCACTCGTGGAGGTGACTCATCGGTCCACTGCAATTACATAAATTCATGAAATCAAGCACAGCTCACCTGCCGTCCTCTTGGATCCTTTCAGCTTGCTGGCTGCTCGCCCTCTCCTCTCTCCTCGCCCTCTCCTCCGTCCCCTTGGTTCGCTCCTCTGACGTCACCATGGCCGACGCCGCCAAGCAAGAGTTCGCCCGCCGGCTGGCCATCTTCTCCATCAATGTGTACGGCAAGCTGTCGGCACAGAAATCTGGCGAAAACGTCGTCTTCTCGCCGTTCTCCATCCAGACCTGTGCGGCAATGGCCCGTGTGGGTGCCGAGGGCGAAACAGCCGCCCAGTTGGACCGCGGCCTAGGGCTGGCCTCTAACGATGCGGAACAGATTGCCCAGAGCTTTAACCAGGTGCTGGCCACCTATCAGGACAGCCAGATCCTGCGCATCGCCAACAAAATCTTCGTAATGGAGGGCTATCAGCTGCGCCAGGAGTTTGACCAGCTGCTGATCAAGCAGTTCCTCTCAGCGGCGCAGAACGTTAACTTCGCCAAAAACGCAGCGGCCGCAGCGACCATCAATGGATGGGTGGAGCAGCGCACTAACAATCTCATCAAGGATTTAGTGCCAGCTAGTGCCCTGAATGCCGATTCGCGATTGGTCTTGGTCAATGCCATTCACTTCAAGGGCACCTGGCAGCACCAGTTTCCCAAGCACGCCACCCGGCCGGATACTTTCTACCTGAACGGTGAACGGAGCGTCCAGGTGCCCATGATGAGTGTGAAGGAGCGGTTCCGTTATGCCGATCTCCCGGCGCTGGATGCTGCTGCTCTGGAGCTGCCGTATAAGGACTCGGACCTCTCCATGCTGATCATCCTGCCGAACAGCAAAACGGGTCTGCCCGCCCTGGAGGAGAAGCTGCGTGCCACGCCGCTTTCGCAGATCACGCAGGCGCTGCACAAGACCCAGGTGGTGGTCAAGCTGCCCAAGTTCAAGGCCGAGTTCCAAGTAGAGCTGTCGGAAGTGTTCCAGCAAGTAATGTTGGCCAGAGATTCCACCACAGGAAATATATTAACAGTGTCATTTTCCCCCCTCAGCTGGGCATGTCAAAGATGTTCTCCGATGGCGCCGAGTTCGGCAAGATGCTGCAGAGTCCCGAGCCGCTGAAGGTGTCAGCCATCATCCACAAAGCTTTTATCGATGTGAACGAGGAGGGAACAGAGGCGGCGGCTGCTACGGGTAAGTCTTCCTGCTTTCTTCTGTTATGATAACTCTAAGACATCCATCATCGTGTCTGCATGTCCCATTTGTTCATCCGTGTCTGTCTTCTTCCCATTCCGCAGGAATAGTGGTGCGCACGAAACGCGCCATTATATCGCTGGAGGAACCTATAGAGTTCCTCGTCGATCATCCATTCACCTATGCCCTTGTCCATCAGGAGGAACTGCCCCTGTTTTGGGGCTCTGTTGTGCAACTAGAGGAGACATCACTCGACTCCAGCGAGCATGATGAGCTGTGATAGTGTCCCATTTTAATTCTATATCAATAAAGGCGGATATTTATTAATATTTTTCAAAATGAATGTTTCTGCATTTGCCTGATGCTTTGGGGCGACCTGTATTGGAGCACAAGAAACAGATTTTTAAACCACAAAAGCATTTCTGGCAAGCATTTCATAGACAGCATTGCATTATTCGGACATTTCCATCTAAAACTTCGCCCTGGCATTTCCCTATAACAATTTTATTTAAATTACAGCTATTATTATGTGTCGAGCTGTGATGTTCAGCCCGCCTGAGATGCCCAAACAATTTCATGTCCAGCATCCCTTCACCTTTATTGTTATTAATGGGGACTCATCCGTTCTGTTTGCGGGAAAAATAGTTAATCTCTAAAGTCAGTAGACCAACATCAACCAACATCACCGAATCACAGTGCACGAATCGTAACAAACTGAATGTGTGGTTCCCCTTCATCTAACTTTACAGGTATGGTCATGATGCTCTGCTCGATGCCCATGGCCCAGCCGGATCCCAGACATTTCTACGTTGATCATCCATTTAACTACTATATTCTCAACAAGGACTCCACCGTTCTATTCGCTGGTCACATTCAGAAGCTCTAAGCAGACCTGGGTACAATACTAACAACCGATCAACCATTTGCGTTTCGTGTCTCACCTCGCATTTAATTTACAGGTGTGATCCAAATGCGCATGCTGCTGCTTACGGAGTCGGAGCCCAAGCTTTTCTTTGTCGAGCATCCATTCAGGTTTTACATTGTCAATGTGGACGGCACGGTTCTCTTTGCTGGTAGACTCATAACGCTGCAAACAAACCCAGCCTAATATGCCTAAGACTGCGCACAATCAAAGATCTTATATTTACACTTTACACTTTTCTACTAATCAAGCATGTAACATAACAAGTCCCTCAATAAAGTCAACGCAACTCAGTCAAGTTCTTCATCGCCTCCACAGGATTCCGGGTGATGCCAGTGGCGGGTTTCAGGCGCCATCATTTTGTTGCCAACCACCCGTTCGTTTACTACGTAAAGTCGCAAATAGATCTCCCGATCTTTGCCGGACGACACTTGGGCTGAGCACTTAGGAGGTTAAGTTCAATGAAATAAGCAACAATGAAATAAATGGTTGTCACCTAATGGCTGTGATTTCGTCAAGTCCAAGTGATTTATAGAAATACATTTCGAAGCTCATCCAGGCTTGACGGTTTAACACGCATAGCTAAACGGCTTGAGGTACCGTAGCTGATCAAGTGGAGCTGGCAACTAGTTGTTCTTTAAGTGCTAAGCCCTACACTCGAAAGATGCTCCTCTGCTCTCATCTGCAAGCTGGGACTCTGCTCACGATTCTGCTCTCTGTGGCACACGGAAGCTTTTTGCCCGGCTCCTTTAATTGTGAGTAAAGGGGATACTCCAAACGTTGAGGGATAATCAAGGAGGAGCTCCATCCCACAGTGACCCTGTACAGACAGATGCCCGCTCTCTATCAGGTGGATGACTACGACCTCTGCTTGGACAATACCTCTGGCAGCTACTGCATGGTTTATGTGGAGATTGAGCCCAATGCTAGTTCCACTTTGTGGCACCTTATCGACACTGTGTCGCGTGATTCAAAGCATCGTTTCCGCCACGATGTGGTCCTCCGGGGCGTGTGTCTGGAGCACTGCATACGCACTCTCAACGACTCATCTGGAGCTCTTGAGCGCTACGAGGGAAGAGGTGTGCAGGACGAACAGTTGAGCACATATTTCATGATGGTGCACCGGCGGCCAGCAGACGCAGATGACCGTCGGCTTTACAGTGAATTGGTCAACAGCTGCCTAAATCTTGAATTTAGTCAGAAGTTTTCGCTCCGGGTTAGCAGCCAGATCGAGTATTGTGTGTCAGCGGATAATCATTTGGAGCTGGGTATGTTCACTTTACAGCCAACATTTCAGTTTGTGGAGACTTATCACGCTATAGTCTATAAAATTAAATAATTAAAAATATAATTCTGATATTACGGAGGTCATGATTACAATTGAAAATAGTCAGGCAGACATTACCAAAACGATTAACTTTTAGATAAATGCATAATTCGAAATAAATATTCCTTTTCCCGTATTCAGGAGCATACGGGAAAAGGAATATTTATTTCGAATTATGCAGAATGAGATCTAACTAATCCTAAGATTGGATGGTTATAAGGTCTTGGGTACTAATTGGCGAATTTGAATGATACAGATATTTTCTAAACACAGATACCCTTGATCTGGTTGCTTACACTGTCGGGATCGCCATCGTCTTGCTTGCGTTGTGCTCATCCACCTATGATTATTGTATAAGTAATGCCGACTCTCGTCAGCCACCCGATAATTTTTATAGGAAGCCTCCAAAGAGTCGCAGTAAGTAGAGAGCCCATGGAGGAACAAGTTTGATTTTCTAAGTGGCCTTTAAACATCAAACAGAGCAGCAGCTTCTTACGTCATTTTCGCTTGCCCGGAATTACTACCGACTTACCGAGCCCCATACCACCGATTTCGCTAGGGATTTAAGTTTTTTCGACGGTTTCCGAACGATCGGGGTAGTCCTCGTTATCCTGGCCCACACTCTGATGGTTTTCATGACTGCCGCTATTGAGAATCCCGAGTACTACGAGCAGTTCATTTACTCGTTTTGGTCATCGGTTACTCAGAACGGCCATGTTGCCATCCAAATATTTTTCGTGATGAGCGGTTTCCTACTTTACGTGGACTTTACCAAACGCCAACTGGTCAACCCGAAGTCAGACACTCTTGAGTGCATCGCGGTATACTTTCGGTTATTCTTTTACAGATACTTTAGGCTCATCCCGTCAGTCCTCGCCCTGATTCTGTTCAACGGTACGGTTTTGGTTCGCCTGCAGGACGGACCGTTTTGGCGGCACTTAACCGAACCCGAACGGGTGTTTTGTCGGACTAAGTGGTGGAAGAACGTCTTCTTTGTGACCAACCATATGATGGAGCACAGTGTGCGTTCACAATACTCCAGTACAGGAGTATAACGTTCTATAAAACAATTATTTTTCCATTCCTGTTTTAGTGCTCTCACCAGACCTGGTATTTGGGGGCGGATATGCAGCTATTCGAGCTATTCCTTATCGTGCTAGTCATAAGCAAAAAGTAAGGAGACAAACCCTTGCGCTATCGCTCTTGTAACTCACTTATTTTCAGACACCCGCGGCTGGTCAAACCCATATACGTAACCCTGATGACACTTGCAGTAGGTGTTCCCGCCATATTGACCTACGCTCTTAAATTAGAAGCTGTCTACCATATTAGTCCAGAGTGGGTTTTCGCAAGTTGGGAAGAAACATTCTGCTAAGGTAACTCCAACCTTTCCTACTTTCCATTTCTAGGACATACCGCTTCTTGTTCTTCCGGCACGCGGACACCTTTATCCAGATGTATCCGACCTTCTACACGAATCTAAGTGGCTACCTATTGGGTTTCGTGTGTGGTCACCTCTACCTGAGCCAGCGCTCTAAGGCGGCCGTCCTTCGGGGACAACTGAAATATGAGCTGGCCATGTGGCTACTGGTACCGGCGGCGCTGTTAATACTCTTCTCCGGCTATACATTCATCTACTATGACTTTGCCAAGCCCTCGATCTGGCTGGCTGTATACGCAGGACTCTACAAGAACCTGTGGGTGCTGATCTGCGCGGGATTCGTTTTCCTTATGTGCTGTAAGGTGGGAGGTGAGCTAGACTTGGCTTAAAATCCTTTTGGTATTGGCAACCACTCACCAATCTCCAACAGGAATCACCTACGCCTTCTGTACCTTGCCGGTGTTCCGGCCGCTGGCAAGGATCTCCTTTCAGGCCTATCTGTGGCACCTGGTCGTCTTGCGCGTGGTTACGGGATACTTAAGGCAGCCGACCCATGTGTCCACCGTGTTCTTGGTAAACGTAATGTATAACCTTCCTAACAATGTAACATAAGCTTTAATTTAGATTTGCCATGTAATAAGTGCACTTGTTCTGTCGCTATTTGTGGCGTTTTTGATGGCTCTGCTGCTGGAATACCCTCTCGGAGAGGTTCTGCGCTGCATGTTGAAGCCGCGGACAAGTATTCAATAATACTCAGTTTTTGGCTTTTAACTAAATTCTATTATTTTCAGTTAAAAAGGATATCAAAACGGAAATTCAAATGGCAGGCGCCCAGTCAGCTGCTTAGAGTGGCCGTATTCCACTGTAGGGTGATTCAATGCAACGCGTTAAGGCATTCACAAGGAACAACCAGTGCGGGGAAAACATTTTTCTAGTATACTAAAATTAAGTATTCATAATGATTTAAATAATGTTTGATAAAACTGTAGTGTTAAATGGTAATGCGAATAGAATAAAAAAATTTTTGCTAACATTATAGCTAATTAATTTTGCTACTATTAGTTCCTCGTCAGTGTTTTACTGCAAAAATACCATCAACTATATCCAATTAAAAACGCTAAATCTAGTGGGAAAATAGCTATATTATATATCGATAGTTAGCAGTTATTTACAAATTGAAAACTGTTGTTATCAGTATCCGATATTTTCAAAAATTCAGTTGTCAAGGGAATACCCTGAATATTACTTTTTAAAAGCTAATAAAAGCCCGTTTCATATCACTCGTTTCCGTCTAGACTGAGAGAGTGTGAAAAATAGAAAACAAAAAAGAAAACTTTAATAACTTGGCAGAAAGATACCGTTTAATCAGTTCATAAAATTGGATATGCTTGTATTTGTAATTGCAAATGGTAATTTTATTATTTATTCCACTATTTTTTAAGTGTTGCATATTCTTATAGTCAAAGCTACTTTTCAGGCCATATTACAGAAAATGTTTTTAATCTTTTTTCCAATCGCTAACTACTCAAGTACATTTTTCTCAATACAGCCAAGGTATATGCTTTCCAACTGATGCAAACACAACATACTCCAAGTCATCTACAAGTAATGGGCAAGCCTTCCTCTCTCTCTTCTCTCCGATCAGCTGTTTAGGTTTTGTTTTCGTTGTTGTTGTCCAGTGTTGCCAGGTGAACCTTCAAATTGTGAGAAAGAAATAAGCTAAAATAAGCTAGAAATTAATAAATATTACTTTAAAAAAATGGAGCAATTTTTTTTATAACATGTTAGTTGAACAAAAAATTGTAGAAAGAAAAGCAAGAAAATCACTTGAATTGCATATGGCGCAAGGAACTTAAATGATTTGTTTCGAGCATCCTTAAAATAAAACGTTTTTTAAGGATGCTCGAATGGGTTCCCATGTTTACTTTTCTTATAACGTTTTACGTTGAATTACAATTATTGCTGGATATTATTAAAATAAGCAATTTAAGGCTGTAAGCTAGTTGCAAAATTCTTAGGCACTTCCATTTAAAAAAGGCTATATCTAGCCCGAACTTAGCTAGACTGGCAACACTGGTTTGCTCTTAAATGCTCTGCGCGCTCTCGTCGGCATTTTTGTATTTGTCCCGTGTTGCTGCTGTCTGAAAAGTCTTGAAGTAGTGCCTTAAATTCCAAGTCGTGTGCAAAATTTTCTTGTTGATAGCTCCAGTTGAATGCTGATAGAAAGTGATAAAAAAAAGTGAGTGTATTTTCGTTTCTTACGGCTGGAACTGCGCGGCCTTACTGCCTTCTACATTAAATGTCAGGCGAAATGAATCACGGCATATATTTGTACATGAATTGAATAGTTCGGCGCGGTGTCAGCGCAATGTATTTCTATTAATTTTAAAATTGAGAGTGGCCATGCAAATGCAGCGCTTGAGTAATAAACGCGCGTATTACAAAATCATTAAAAATCACGGTAAAAAATAAGTGCGACAGTTGCTGTGTGGCTGTGCTTCCTGTGTCTGTGTGGGGTGGTGTGCCAGTGTGCGTCTTTCTTGTGCGAGTGGAGCGGCGAGCGCAGTGCATGTGAAGAGTGCCGCTATAAAAGTTTACCATCTGCTCTCCCGCTCACGCGCCGTGTTATATGAGTCCAACACCCAAAAAAGGGAATAAAGAGAAGAGAAGCAGCGTCTTTGGACGCGCCGCCGCAGCAGCAGCGAATGCCGAAAAAACGTTGCAAAAACGAAAGAAAGAAATCAAACAACTCGAACGCCAGCGGCCAGTCGAATTTGTTGTTTCACACTTGATTGTATTAATTGTTTTTCTCGCATTTCGCTGTAATTTGTGTTGCTTTTCCGGCTGCTTGGCTCTGGCTTGTTTATGCAGGGAGAGCGAGAGAGCAAGGGAGAGAGGCCGCCGTTGGGCGAGAGTGCCAGTGCGAGTGCGAGGGAATGACGAAGGGGGAGAGAAGAGAATGTGCCAATTGTTGCTTGCAGAAGCAACAAGTTACATGCAGTGGTGTGAGAAGGGGAAGTGCGTGCTGTGGGCGCCAAATCGCAACGATAAGCTGAAATTCGAAATATGAAATATTTACGAGGAATAAACGTGGCTCCCAGTTGGTCACAGCGTACAATTACGGTTTCTTTTCTGTGAGTGTGAGTGCGAGTATTAGTGTTTGTGTGTGGGGCAAGTGTGAAGAACAAGCGACCTCCAGCGGCGGCGACGTCGCGACTGCGTCTTAGAAAGAGCGAGCGAGTGAGGCATCATGCGCCCCCCACGCACAGTTATTTCGGTTGCTCCCAAATGGGTAAAGCAACGAAACGTAGCCAACACCAATTAGTGACGAAAAATATGAAAAACGCACTGGAATGAAACAGACACTAGCGAACTTACAAACTGCGTTTATGCGTCAGCTAATGTCGCGACTACATAGCCAACAACAGCTGTTCGCCCACATTCCGTTAATCAGCTGCGACAGAGCGCTGATCGGCATACACGCACACGTATGAACGTCAATTGGGAGAAGTAAATGCATGCCAACAAACAATCAGGAAAAACACCGAGCACCAAATACCCTTCTTTCAGTAAAACTGTCCTAATTTAAGTTTAATTGAAGTTATATTTCTTTGGCCGCTACCACTTTCTAGTTCAAAACTTCGGCTGATCATCGATTGAGAATATATAATTTATACATACAACAAAAATCAGTTCCCATATTTCAGCTTCGCAAACTTCAGGTCAATAAATTAATTCAGAACAATTTAAAGAATGATATTGTGATAAACGATCTATTAGATCATACATTGAAAGCGCTTGTATTCTAATTTTAAATCACTTACATTGTCCGTTATACTTCGGAATGCCATTAATTAATGTCTTCTGAGCCGGTCGATTTCGCTTGACAATTCTTTAGTCAAAATCGTTATGCCCTGTGGGAAGCGTAATATCGCGACAACTGCCGCCCAGTCTGACTAAGCGCAAATGGAAGTGCAGAAAATAGCAACATGTAGACGCTGAAGTGGGGAAGCGAGAGTAAGAAGAAGCCACGGCAGCAGCCGCGTCGCGCAATTAAGACAGCAACAAAAGCCAGCGACAGCCGCCACTTGTGATGACCAGGGGGGTATGGGGGCTGCGGGTGGCGGGATAGCACCTCGGACGGGGCAATGCATATGCATGCGGTTAATTTTAGCAACAGAGTTCCACTTTCACTCGAGCATCCGCGGCATCAGCAGCGGCGACATTAGGCATCGCTAGCGACGACACCCACTGTGCAGCAAGCCGGCCAGTCTATCAGTTGCACTGACGCGACACTTGCGCGCTTTTGTCAAATTTTCAGCTAATCGCCGTCAGGCACGCACACAAGCCAGGCAGTTTGATGAACCTCCGTACACACACACACTGCATATCCAATGACGTTGCACCCTGCACCAATGACATCATCATCATCATTGCCATCAGCGAAAGTTTCCAATGCAGCTGACAGCCGATAAGCAGTGGGTCTGCGGCTTATCACATGCGTGACTCATGCGTTTAGCATTGGAATCGACAGTCAGCTGATTATATGCAATGCAGAAGGAAGCTATTCCTTCTACAGCAGTTTAGTAGACGTCACTTGATCATTATCGATTACATGCATGGAATACATGTTCCATGTTTCCCTTTATCTTGGCAAATTACACAGATCTGCAGAAATACTAAAAAAATTGTCTGGAACATACAATAGAATTCCTCCCTTACTAACCTAATTGGCCGGACAGAAAACGTTCTTTCGCAATTCAGGGCTAAGAGCACTACTTACAATTTATATCTTTTCTCGGTAAGAGATGCATTTGTTTAATAAAACTAGGGATATGTAATCGAGATATAAGTCATTTATTAAGGCCCTAGATACCACAATTGGAGCACTGGCCGTTCATCAATTTGCATTTACCGAGACCCCATATAATTTACCCAATACTGCTGAAAGCAACTCTTACAACGCTTAGTTGACTGCACTCCCCCCAGTTTACTTCGACGAGGGGTGTTCACTGCGTTTCAGTCACGCCGCCAAGCAATAGGCAGCAAGAACAACACGACAACATTTGTTAGCAATTAGAATTGGCCGGTGAACACAACGTGTCGACAAAGCGCCAAGATTTGCAATCAAGCATTAAGCCAATTTGCGGCCAGTCTCCGATCGCTGGACCATTGCGATTGCGTCAATTGAGCAACGGTTGCATCGCGTTCAATTGCAGCAGAAATCGCTGAAGGGTCCGCTGGCCGACACCATTGTCAACTGATTAGCTATTGGTATGAGACAGTGACTTCTACAGCTACTGGTATGTACATATAGGTTGACCAGTGATACTTGTAGAGAAAAGCCTAGTGCAGCCCGAACACTCAACCCTATAGTACAAAATATCAATTTTTCAATTTACAAAATCTTATCTGCAAAAACAGCCAAGTAATAAATTTTCCAGACGGACCGTTTAGCCTAGATCTGGTTGTTTGATGATGCCACATGCAGAATGCGGATACCTTATGGGATCGAGAATAGAAAAAGGGTCTCCGAGAGGAATAAAACAGTTTCGCCCTATTGTGTTGCATTGTATGCAACTCGACGCTGGGTACTTAGTCACACCACCCTCATTACGGTGCTCGAGAATCTCTACTTGTATGTTTGTTGGTTCACTGAGATTTACATAAAGCAACTTCCGTTGTACGCTCTTCTTTTATCGTCACTGGTGCGCTGATTATTATAGCGGCAAGTTCAAGTCGACTCGCTGATGAAGGGCCATATTTTTGGCATTTGCGAATCGTAATGTCGAGTGCAATGGGAATCGAGCCGGGAGTGGAGGCATGGGGTCTGGGCCCGGCGATGATAACTCAGGCATGGCAAACGCCAGCGATGCCAACAAAATAAATAAACACATCAAATACGATTTACAACGCTCCTACGAACATCGTGCGCCGGTGTTTGTATATGAAAATATAATTTCGCCTAAGATGATTTAATTTTCTATTAATAAGTTTGACCTTCAGCGGCGAAACAAAAATTTTCCCGCCTGCAAGCGAAGGTGTTTGGCATATAAACTCATAAATAACAACGAATACATACAACAGATATAGATATATGGTGTGGGTACACCACTTTGGAGAATATTCGATTTGGTGCCAAACATTTCAGCGACGCTATAGATTCTATAGGCGTAGCACTTAACATTATGTCTGTTGTGTTTAGCCAACTCCGAGCTGATATTTCTTTATCAGTCGAAAGGCCACCGCGATAGCAAGGAGCCAACTGGCCAACACCCATCCAAGATGAGACTAGCAAAGGGCTTACATTGGTTTCAATGTACATAATCATTGGCTATTTCGATATGTAAGCTTATAGTATCTTAACGGGTCAATGACAAAGTTTAGTGTTTGCAATAAATATGAATATCTTGAAGCGAAACAAGGCGAAGGCGAAAAGCGACGGAGGCAAAACAATTTTATGGCACTTTTCTGATTATAAACGAAAGCTGGTCGTCGGCGGCGAAGTTTAGTCAGCCTATCGGCCTCGGCCCAACCCAGAAATAATTTTGGGGCTGTGCACAGCACGTAGCTATCTATACAAGTGTCTGGAAGAGTTAGGGGTTTCGTTAGGGTTCTGGCTCATGTTTCCACATAACTCACGTGTTGGCAGGCGATTTGGTACTGGTATGGGTATATTTTGGCGTTATGATGTCATACTAAAGAAAGGGGTTCGTCTCTCCAACTGGCCAACTAATAATTCGACACGTTCTACCTTCTAGCTGGCAGTTCATTAACGAAAGTGGCGCCATTTGTGGCAGGTGAAAGCGTTCTCGGAACAACCAGCGATTTGAGTCGCAGATATATTGATGCCATAACCAATTTTGATGCAACCTCCCCAGCACAAAGCCAGCTTGTCAATAGTGAGCTGTGAATGGGAAAGCTCATTGATTTTCGCAAAAGCGATATTAGCATATGCAAATTTATTGAACAAATCGTGGCCGCGAAGCGATGTGAAAGAAAACGCGTTAAGTTAATACATCGGCGAGCGAAGCCGAAAGCAACTAATGATAGCTTTCAGTCGGTTTATGCGTTGCTCGATTACTGCGTATTTATAATTCATAATATCTCAACAGAAAATCTCCTGAAAAACGACATCTTCGAGTTTTTTGTAGATAATTTCTTTAGAGCTTCTGCAAAAATCTGAAAATAATTATTTCTATGGAGTGTAAATAAAAAATGTCCCAAAATATGCAATGATTTAGATTACATTTAATCTTTTTTGTAATTTTAATTATTGAGGCAGCATACCTTGGGACATTTTAAAAATTGATAATTGATTTATTGATTTAAAATCCACAGCGTGTATCAATATAAGTAGTAACGTGTATAAGCCATTCCTATATCTAATAGCTGTGTATTTTGTATTGCAGAGTTAGACATAGAGAAACTCAGGACTGATTACTGACCCACAAGCCACTGCAGCATCAAGATGTCGTTCCGCGTGGTACGCAGCTCCAAATTCCGCCACGTCTATGGACAGGCCCTGAAGCGGGAACAGTGCTACGACAACATACGCGTCTCCAAGTCAAGCTGGGACTCAACATTCTGCGCGGTGAACCCCAAGTTCCTGGCCATCATCGTGGAATCGGCGGGCGGCGGTGCCTTCATAGTCTTGCCGCACAACAAAGTAAGTGACCACCGACCGGACATGTGTACATACATATTACAGCGGCGATTCCCAAACGTGGCCAGCTTGCGTCGTGGTATTTTTAAAATAGACAATAGCCAACTATTTATAATGCTCTTTTCGGCATAAAGTTTACTGCCATTTGCGGGCTTCTTGCCACGCCGTGAGTGACGTCGACAATTTCGCACTCTCCCTGCCGCTTCCCACCAGTATTTATAAATAGTTATGAATTCTCTGCTGCTCTCGCGCGGGAACGATTCTCTTAGCTGGCGCACTTTGTGTAATTTGGCCCACAGCCAACATGACAAACCAAATTGTCTAATTTTACCAGAGAATGAGAAAGAGACGGAGCGGGGCAGCGGCAGTTCGATAAATGGATACCAAAATGATATTTGGCCAAATGATTGCATTACAGCACCCTCTCTGCCCGGCAAATTATTCCGCAATAAACTATGGTGTTCTTCTGGCCTTTGAATAAATTTCATTTTCACTCTCCAAAGACATTTCGCCAGTCCGCTCCGAATCGAACCACATGCGCATCCGCTTAGCTGTCGTGTGTGGGTGGCAGCTTCACCTCCCGTGCCGCCAGTGTCTCTTCCCTCCTTCCTTCTTTTTTTTTTTTGGTCAAAACTTATTTTGGAGGCAGGCCGAGTGTTCTAATTGGAACAAATTTGTATGCAAAATACGCCACAACCTCTGCGAGCGTTTTGTTTTTTCTCCCGACATATTTTTGGCTAAGCAGCTGCCGTTTCTTTAAGTGACGATTTCTATGTAGAGCGGCTTTCACACGCTCTATTTTACATATTTTATGGGCACTGGATTTGGTCTGTTGGAAGGCGGGGCAGAGATGGATGATGAGTGAGATCCATCAACTCGCCAAGGTTGGCGGCATGTGGCAATCGTTGACTTGAGCAACCAAAAGTTCTTGAAACCTGAAAATAGTTTAATATGCCGCGGAATCATCTTAGATTTACATTTCGGTACATTTCAGAGCCTAACATAACTGATATAGTAGAACTAAAAATAGGGAAATATATATATTTACAGTCAGTTTCGAGAGTATATATTTAGATTATATAGTAGTCTTTACTATTTCACAATAGTTTTGTGTTTAATAAACAACTTTCTTGATATTAATTATATCTTGAATGTAGTTATATATTGTTTTTATACTTATAGGGTTTATTTATATTCTTCATGTTTGCAATAGCTTTATAACCTTTGAGTTAAGTCGCGGTCCAATTGGCTTGATCTAAAACACATTATAACTCGATAAATATCTTAGATCCCTTTGATAGAAGACAAGTGTAACATGAGTTCCGAAGCTCTAAAAGACGACATTGGTTATGCTCAGTGTCAGGGGAAAAAAAAATATATTTTTATAAATGTCCCTTTATCATAAGAGTGTACTAAAAAGCATTCAAGGTCTGATTTAGATCAATGCACCTTCTTCATAATAAACCCTACATATCCTAGAATAAAGCCCACTGACTATTTCTGTTGGCACTTATATTTTCTTCATTAGACACCAGATTTTCCACGGTACCAACCCCGGAGTTGTCTTTAAAAGTAATCCGAATGCAAGATCTTTCATAGCTCGTAGGCAATGCATGTACGATTGCCAAGTTGCAGTCGGCGACTTATAAAATGCTTGCTCCGCAGATTAGCAAATATAGCAGAAATAAATGCAGCCGGAGTCGGCTATAAATAATGATTCAGAAACTGGGGCAATGGGTCGCGAGGTTGCTGTTTGGCGATGACGTCGTCGCCGTTGTCGTCGTCGTCAATTAATTAGTTTACGTTGACTTGGATAACTAATTGGCATTTCATGGATTCTTTCAGGTTGGGCGCATAGCGGCGGATCATCCGCTGGTGGGCGGTCACAAAGGCCCTGTTCTGGACATCGCCTGGTGTCCGCACAACGACAATGTAATCGCTTCCGGCTCAGAGGACTGTGTGGTCAAGGTGTGGCAGATACCCGATGGCGGACTCTCCCGCACACTCACCGAACCCGTCGTCGACCTGGTCTTCCACCAGCGCCGCGTCGGTCTGGTGCTGTGGCATCCATCGGCCCTCAATGTGCTTCTAACCGCCGGCTCGGACAACCAAGTAAGGAACTGGGATCTTGCCAGCACGACCCCAACTAATCAACTATCCGATTGCTTTCAGGTTGTCATCTGGAATGTGGGTACAGGCGAGATCCTTGTGCACATTGACTCCCATCCGGATATCGTCTACAGTGCCTGCTTTAACTGGGACGGCGCTAAGCTGGTCACCACCTGCAAGGACAAGAAGATTCGCATCTACGACCCGCGCACTGGCGAGCTGGAGAGCGAGGCCATGTGTCACGAGGGCTCAAAGGCCACGCGGGCCATCTTCCTGCGACACGGCCTGATCTTCACGACGGGCTTCAACCGAAGCTCTGAGCGTCAATACTCCCTCCGCGCCCCGGATGCCCTCAATGAGCCCATCGTAATGGTGGAACTGGACACTTCCAACGGCGTCATGTTTCCGCTCTACGATGCGGACACGAATCTGATCTACCTGTGCGGAAAGGGTGACTCGGTCATCAGGTACTTTGAGGTGAGTCAAACAAACTTTGGGGATTATAGAAGAATTTAGTAAAATACTTAATCATGAGATTCTTGGTATTATATTTCAAGTGTCTATTTGTGAAATTCAAACATTTATCAACATAATCTTTTAATATATCCAGGTCACGCCCGAGCCCCCATTCGTGCACTACATCAACACTTTTCAGACCACAGAACCACAGCGTGGTATTGGCTTGATGCCGAAACGCGGCTGTGACGTCACCACCTGCGAGGTTGCCAAGTTCTATCGCATGAACAACAACGGTCTGTGCCAGGTGATATCGATGACTGTGCCGCGCAAATCGGATCTCTTCCAGGAGGATCTCTATCCCGACACGCTGGCCGAGGATGCTGCCATTAGCGCTGAGGAATGGATTGACGGCAAGGACGCGGACCCCATCACATTCTCGCTCAAAGTAAGTAATTACTGTGGCGATTCTCGCCGATATCTACTCCCCGTGCGTTTGGAATACAGCGCTCTCGGCTGGGTGTGGTGAAGGTTCGGCCGCTCTGCCAGCCTTTCCACCGCCGGCAAAGCGTACAGGACAATGGATTTGAATTCGCATGCGTGCTCGCGGGGCTGGTCCACACAGGGCAATGCGGCTCGAAGTCGGTGAGGCAGCCGCTGCCACTGTGGGACCCCCTTCTCCAATGTATTCCAACGGCTTTTGCATTTGTTCAACGTTCGGGAACTAGGTTCCTGTGCCTGTCGGTGACTACCATTACGGTGTGATGCTTGCGTTTGCTCTGCTAGCGTTCCTTTCTGCGTTATCTGCGTTTGTGACTCGTCCGCCTAGCAAAACTCACAGTCCTTTCACACAAACGGATTACCAGGCACACTAAGATCTGGATGCAGTCACTAACCGTACACACAGCTGCCCTCCAGGCTTATACACTTGGCCCTAACACGCACGCGCGTGGCGCTTGTTGTTGTGTTCATTGTTGCTTGTTGTTGTGTTCCGGAACGAACAGACTTTCTAACCCGCCTAATCAGGATCGCGTTTCCATTGTACAGGGTGGCTACGTCTCGTCGTCGGCAAGCAAATCTCTGTCGGTAAACAAGAAGGTCAACATTCTCAACAAGCCCAGAGGTGGCGGCGGCGGCAGCTCCGGAGCAGCTAGCAGTAGTGCGGGCGGCGGCGGCTACAGCTCGTCGGCGAACAACAACGAGGCTAGCGATGCCGGCCCGCCGGCAGCCGTCTTGTCGGTGAGTATTCTTGCTTTGCTTAAGACGTAACATCATTTACTGACTGCTTGAAATCAACAGGAAAAGGACCTGCGCAGCATTCAGGACGAGATACGCAAACTGAAGGCGATCATCGTGAAGCAGGAGAACCGCATTCGTGCCTTGGAGGCCAAGGTCAATGCCGGAAATGGGGATGAAACGGACGCCCGCAACAAGAATGGAAGCGGCAGTGGATCGTCCGCGCCAGCAGCCGCCGCCGCCTGTGACAGCAAAGCCAGCGAAAGTGCCAATGACCATGCATCCGCGTCAGCGGCAACGGCAGCGGCACAGGAAGCGGACTAGGCCGTGGACTACCATGACTAGGACTGGACTGGAGAAGAGATAGAACTGCTTGTAGAAGCTCGTCGTTACCGCTTAGTTTCACTAAAACGCGGAGGGAGAATCAGAGGAAGAAATGAGAAGAGTTATTGTCTATATTGTCTATTATGATTATGGTTTCGATTATTTATTTTGTATAATTTAATATTAGGACCTTAGCGAGCGAAATCAGTGGAGCGTGCGGCACAGATAGGGTTAGAGCAAACCAAACCGAGCATCAGATTAATCACCAGCGAATACGGAGCTGAAACAGTTAACATAACATAATTAACATTACATCCTGCCAAAAATATATAAAATCTTAACGAACTACCTACGAGACGCGCCCACCATCAAGCTGAATAAGGGGCAGATCGGACGAAGGGGCCCTTCGATCACCTTGTTGCAACGCAATTGTAAAATTGTTGTAACTTTAACAAAGGCAAAACATAGACTTAACCTCAAGCCTCTATAGCGTTAACATTTTCCTACCAATTTTGTACGAGCCCCCTCTAACGCGATGCAATTAGAAAAGGTAGTCTTGCCGACTTCCAAATCGGAACTAGGGGCTACTTGTAAAATTGTATCATGACCTCTATAAACAGCCTGTATATTTGTAACACCCGCGAAAGGAAAGCTATCATGACAATAGCCGTTAGATTCGATGCTGTCCATCCTAGCCCAGGCCCCTACTATCGTCGCCTGTATTAATTATGAATTTAGTTACAAACTGATGGGGGCCGTCGGAAGCCATTCGTTTTTGTATTCAAAATTTTACGCCTTTCGTTCTAACTAATAATGAAATGTATTTTTGAATAATACTTAAAAAATACAACTTGAACAATTGAATAAACCAGCGAAAATATTTTGTAAAGAATTTCATTTCAATTTTTGGCTTAACTTAAATGTGACTTGTTATAAAAAAAATCATAAAAATTAAAAACATTGTTTTATGCTGCCAAGAACGGAAGCAGCGCGAGAGTATCAATAAATTGCCTACCGATTTTGTAACACTATTAAATTGTAAAGTGCAGACTATATACACATGTATAAATAATATATTATATATACAAATAATTTACAATTTGATACGAACTAAATTAATATACAAACTGCGGCAGAGGAAACACAGGGTTCTGCCGATTTCATGACAATAAAAAGCCATGATTTCTTACAAAGTCGTTTGCTTGAGTTTGATTTTAGTTAATGGCTGGATTCCGTAGTTTATTTCAGCTTTATAGGAATTCCTATAATATATAATCATTAATGATTATAAGGAGACTTAATTAGAAGCGATGGAATTTAATCGAAAGCTATGATAATGCACTAGATACTTACATAGAAAGCTTAAAAACGTTAAATTAATCATAATGTTTCGTTAGGAAATTAGGCAAAAATAAGAAAGTTTAGAACCAAATCGTTTTTTAGTTTGTAATTTATAATATTAATAGTTCCTCTCATTACCGCATACCTTAAAATATTGAATTTTTTTTTCGAGGCTTAGCTCTTAAGTTTGAAATGGGAAATCCGTGAGTATTTTTCTGAAGTCAGTTTTAACGGATTTGAAAGATAATTTTTATAATAACTTTTTTGGAAATGGAAGTGGCCTGGTATCACCACCTATTCTGATATATTTTAACCTGCTGAATCCAAATTAGTCCCAAAGTGTTAATTTCAAGGTCATTTTATGAAAGAATACAGATACAACAAGCATTTAGATTGGTTTTGGGGATCGCTGACTTTAATTCCGAGGTTAGTATTACTAAAATCGGTCTGGGTCGTATGTAAACCGGATTATAATGATAAGACTAGATTTTATGCAATGGAACATCGTTGATATGAAGTCTATGAAGATTCACATTTAATTTTCTTTTACCATTTGTTGTTTGTCTATAAGGTGGCGATATATTTTGTAATCCCAAAAAGTGTGCTAGTATTTTTTACGTCTCTTGTAGCATGTTAAAAGAATATAACTTTGGCAAGGTCCTTAAATGGATATTTTAAAAAACTTTTAACAACAAGGGATTTATGGGATTCATGTTAGGCTTTGTATAAATGTATATTTTGTTTTATTTGGTGACTGTTAAATATCTTAAAAATGATATTTAAAGCAGTCAGGTTTTCTAGATATATCTATATGCCACAAATAAACAATTGTGCTTTTCCAAAGACCCTTTCAGAGCCCCGACACTGCACATCTCTTTAACTTCAGATGCTTCAAAAATGAATTAAATTCTAGTTTTGGGAAATAATTTAAATTGACAACTTTTTTAATTACACAAATATGCTTATCCATGCGATTTTCATTGATGGGTGTTCTTTTGTACGGCAAACACAAATGCATTTAATTTATGCCTAAACAGCTTTAGAGCGTAGCGCATAATGCGTTGGCTGTAATTATTACCTCGGCAAGCGAGCCAAAAAAAAAAAAATCAATTACAAATTACGTGTATAACGATTCTGACATTTTAATTAAACGTGGCCGAGTGTGCATTTGTGTGTGCGTTACAATTATGATAGAGTGTGTTTCCAACCAAGTTGTTGATTTAATTAAAATTGTGTTTGTTATGCAATTTGGCTCAATGAAAGTTGCCGGCAGCCATTTGTTGGCTTATTCTTCTGTTAGCCTACAGTCTGTGTGGCAACAGAACAGGAGATAGTGTTTTGTAGCGCCCAAGTTAAAGAAAACGCGATTTAAAGGGTTTTCATGGAAATATGACAAAAATAAAAAAATGGAGTGCATCCGTGAGTACAATTTTGCCTTTAGCAGTATCTTCAATGAGCAACTGTTAGGTACTTACTGCTTAAAGCTTTCTGCTGTAATCTTCCAATCCTTCCATCTCCGATTTAGAAAAACAAGAAAGGAAACTAACTTTGGAAAGCCCAAATTTGTATACCCTTGCAGTTTGCCATAGGATCATAACATCGATCAAAAACCGATCATAACTAAGCCAAAAATGCACTAATTTCAATTCAGAAAGTATTCCTATGCTAGTTTTAAGCTAATGGTAGGGTGGCCTGGAGAAAAGGAATTTTATTTTTCATCAATAAATCATGAATGCATAAATAATGCAAGAGCTCGATTTTTGAATTGTTGCCCACCCTTACTGGTAATTGTACAATGGTAAATCATGTCATTGTCGCCATTAGGGTATGATATTAAAAACCAAGTCCCAATGTTGACTTCGACCTGCCCACGCCCTCCAGATGAGGTTATGGTCCTTCATTAACGCTCAATGATTGTCAAAACAGTTGCAAGGCATTTGTTAATTAAAAGCAAGCAACAAATACGCCAGGTCCTAGGAGCAGTAAGACGTGGGAACACGTGCTAAATAAATACGCCAACTTGCTAAGTACCAGCAGACACATTGCCTCCCCCGGTGACCCCCACTCAACCCGCTTTGACAGCGACACTGCCGTAAATTCACACGAGCCATGGCTTTTGTTTGTGTGCGTGCCCGGCGACGTTTTAATGCATAAAGGAACACATCCATACACCTATACTCCCGCACAAAAGGAGCCGTCAAAACATTACTTCATCGCCGGCTCGTGCTCGGGGTATTTGTTTATTTTCGCATGAAAATAAATGCGTTTAATGGCGGAAGTTTATGCCTCGTAAAGAGAAGTTAATTAGCTTTCTCGAGTATGAAATTTGTTCCGCCCTCTGTCCACAGCCCAGGCAGGCATCCCACACAGCATCTCGTTTCCAATAGCAAATTGAAAAATTTCCAGTAACGCATATTCTCGTTTGGCCAAGAAAAGTAATTTGACTCACCGCCAAGATTTCTTTACAGATTGAATTTTTGATTGATTCGATCTTCAAGGTTAAAGAAAAGGAAGGTGGGAAAGCTATAGTAGAGTGTAAAGTACTCGATAATTTAAGAATGGTGAATGAAATTAAAAGGCTCATTCACTTTTCGAATTATGCTAGAATATATGAAAAACTTTAATCAAAGAGATGGGAAAGCAGAAGATGTTGATAAGTTATTATTCTGAACTGAACTGCAGTCTCCTTTCTTATAGCAAATATCTTTCAAGATTATTAGACCAGAAAAGACAATTTCTTCGAGTGCCAAGACTGCGCTACTGATGCTGCTGTGGGGCAGTTAACACATCAACTTCGTGGCGGGCCGTCGCTTCAGGTGAGTCTTAAAGTCAAACTGGCGACGTGTTTGCATCTATGCCGCAAAAGCAAATATTTACGGCATCCTGCTTCTGCTGGAAGGATGCTGTAAGGATGCCCCACAGCTTCCGGGGCGGACAAAAAGTTGAGTTGAGGGACAGCCGACAACCGACAACCGACAGAGGAGGCCGAAACTTTTTCAAAAGCGCACGCAACCAAACAACATGAAAATAGTTTTTCCTCTACACACATTTATGAAATGTGCACCGCAAGGCTCGAGGGGTGTGTGTGTGTGCCAACAATAACTTTCACTTTGTTGAAGGAGGTGGGTGGAGAAAGGGGACAGAGCAAGGGCTGGTAATAAGCGGCTTAAAACTTGCGCTAGGATGCCCAAAAGTGTCGAGGCAGCAACTCTCGCAGGACACGGGACAGGAAGCCGGCAGCACGAGGCAGGGGACAACTGCCAACTGCCATTTTTGGCAAATATTTGCACAGATAATGAAAGTGCACCCCCTCCCTACACACATACACACACACACACCCGCAAAGTGTGTGTGTGTGTGTGTGTGCCTGGCAGATAGTTGGCAGTTGGACAATGTGTTGAATTGAGTTTGCTGCCTGCTTTCGGGCTCCGATTTTGTTGACAATTCACTTTGCAGCGGTAATTGACCCTAATGCTGTTGCTTCTGGTTTCCTTCGCCTCCGTTAAATCGATGCCATTTTTGGCAACAAAATTCAATTTGGCAAAGAAGTCGCACTGGCACCCGACCACACACACACGCCCAGATGGATACTGCAAGTGCCTAAATACATTGCAAAAATGTCAAAAAGCACGTTTCAGTGCTTTGTGATTTCGCTTTTGCATGTCATGTGGCCCAAAACAAAACTTTGAATTTTGGTCGGAGCTGCTCTGTCAACTACGTGACTATCATGAAAGCGTGCTCGTTGGCTCCACCAATAAATGTCGTTTGGGCCAAAAGGACGGGCCTGGGAGGAGTCAAAACAATCCCATCTAATTCAATTACAATTACTCAAACATCGTTTTGGCCAAAGGCAGAGTGTCGCTCTCTCTCTGCCCGAAAATATTTAAATGCGAATCGATTTGCAGGGATTCCCTGAGGCCCCCTAATGCTTGGCTCTGTTTCAGTGCAATCGTCTGTGGCTAATCGTCTGCTATTTGCTCGATGTCTGTGCGGACCGTCTGGCCTCCCAGCGCTGAAACACTCGCATTCACAGTCACATTCACATTCACATTCGCCATGCACATTGTCAGACAGGGCCATAAATTAGGCAGTTGCTAAGTGCTTCGATGTTTGCCTGTGGCTCCGGCTTTGGCTTTAGCCCTGAATCCAGCTTTGGAGCCCGCTTGGGTTCCGGGACAATGCCGGCCAAGATTTATACCATGTTCGCACTTTCTTTTCGGATACCCAGCCATGTTCCCCGACGCATTGTGTTCAAATCCATGTGTCTAAATTAAAGCCTGGCCACGGGATTGGAGCATAAATTGAATGCAGACAAGAGTGGCAGCTAAAAAATTCGAATCGAACATTCAAATGTTTGGGAGAGTCAGTTCAGTTTTCATTTACTGAAAAATCCGACCAACGTTCGACAGTTAAACAATGAAAGCCCGGCACGTTTGTTCAGCATTTAATATTTTCTCTTCGTAGGCCAGCTGGCTGGCAAAATATTTTCATTACATATGCATATGTATGCATATATCACGGGTATATCAAACATTTTCAGCAGAAATATATTTCTGTTGGCTTGCATTTCTATTTCTGCTGCTGCAATTTTCCAGAAATAGCAATTAGCAAACGGCAAAGGGTGAAATGAAAGAGCAAGGACTAAGGGCTTGGGCCAAGTCTATTGAGAGGACAAAAAACCCAATTATCACATATTCAAGTCAAGTGCCTGGCTTGTCCTTCCGCTTTCTCATCCCGTGTCCGTCCCCGCTGACTTGCTCTGACTGTGATTGCGACGTTGGTTTTGATTCCACCTGAAAACTAATTTTCGTGGCACTGGCTTTAAGGGTACACGGCAAACCGAGTTTTTTAAAAG